TATAAGTATGATATCTTCTGGACTGTATACACTGAATATAAGTATGATATCTTCTGGACTGTATACACTGTGAATATAAGTATGATATCTTCTGGACTGTATACACTGTGAATATAAGTATGATATCTTCTGGACTGTATACACTGTGAATATATAAGTATGATATCTTGTATACACTGTGGCATGATATATTCTGGACTGATACACTGATATAAGTATGATATCTTCTGGACTGCATACTCTGAATATAAGTATGATATCTTCTGGGTTGTATATATTGAATATATGTTTGATATGTACCACTGTTACTTCATTATTGAAATGGAGGCTTCCAAGCTACAGTAAACTGCATCTATGACCGACACATTTACAAAGAATTGAAGGATATAACAAACTGGGGGTTTTCCCTGACCATTTGCTGCATATTTTTTGGTATGAAAAGTTAAAATGTTTACAACAAACTATGGTTTAAGAAAGTTGATATTATTGGTCCTTGAGTCCACGACAACCATACTTTACAATACAAGACCTTGGACGTCAGTTTGGGACAACCATACTTTACATGTCCTTGGGCATCATCAGTTTGGGACAACCATACTTTACAATACTTGACCTTGGACGTCAGTTTAGGACAACCATACTTTACAATACATGTCCTTGGGCGTCAGTTTAGGACAACCATACTTTACAGTACTTGACCTTGGGCGTCAGTTTAGGACAACCATACTTTACAATACTTGACCTTGGGCGTCAGTTTAGGACAACCATACTTTACAATACTTGACCTTGGACGTCAGTTTAGGACAACCATACTTTACAATATTTGACCTTGGGCGTCAGTTTAGGACAACCATACTTTACAATACTTGACCTTGGGCGGCATCAGTTTAGGACAACCATACTTTACAATACTTGACCTTGGACGTCAGTTTGGGACAACCATACTTTACAAAACATGTCCTTGGGTACAGTTTGGGAAATAATTGGCTTGGTTTTTAAGCTAAATTGGACAGTGAAATACATCACCTCCTCAAAGCTCTCAACATTAATTATTGTTTTATTACGCAAAGGAAGTTTCTTTCATATGCCATGACAAAGTAATTACAGAAATATGAAAGAATCTTGTGTTTTTAAACTTCCCGTGTGTAGGATAATTTATTTCATTTCCTCTGAGTTTTAAGTTCAAGCCAACTTGTTTTTCCCCCATCTAGACCAGGAAGAATAATTTCTATGTTAATACACTTCAAAGTGTGTGGCAGTGGATGTAGACATTGACTGTAGTCCTTGTAAAAGTACCCACCAGTTTCACATCATAAGGTCAAGGGTGCTATATGTTACTGCTGTAATGATGGACAGACTATAAGCTTTAAGTCCATTTGTATAGCGCCATGTATCCAATCACCAAGTGGTTGCTCAAGGTGCTGACATATTTACATATTTACAACAGTTCATTTAGATGTCATAGTGCAACTTGAACAGGAAAGTTTTTAGATTAGACTGGAAGCTGGCTATTGAGGGTGATTCCTTGAGACACATGCAGATTGTTCCAGAGGATAGCAGACATATAGGAGAAACGTCTCTATACGTCTTCAGTCATGGGTTTGGGACGGTGAGCAGCGACTGATTGGCTGATCTCACAGTCCTGGTAGGAACATACTCTGGGACAAGACTAGAGAGATAGGATGGAGCATCTGTAAGAAAATAATTTCAAGGGACAATTTTGGGCATATAGATTCGGCACAGTCTAATATTTGAGGTTTGTGGCTGCGTCAGATGTAATGACAAGCCTTGTCAATAGAGTTTTCAAGTGGCCACTTCACTTTCTGTTTTTAATTTCAGTTGTTGCAAGTGAAAAAGAAAGCCATTACCACGTTACACTAATTAGGCGACTTCATCCAATTTGCAATAGTATCATAATTTTCATTATTTCAGGAATAATAATGAAAAGACAAAATCATTTCAAGTGTATTGTCATTCTCAAACTGAACCATGTTCCAAAAAAACATTATTGCAAATATTTAGCTATTTGTGTGGTTTCATTGTTTTAGAGAATACCTGATTGTGACCCACAGAAATATTTGGCGTGAAAATCTTATTTAATCAGTCCAATAGCCAAGCAATTCTATATCCGGGATTGCATAACATAATGGCTTGAAAAATGTTGTAATGACTTTTGACATGTCCCCTGTGTACATGTGATCCATCTTGAAGTGGTACAGGAAGTGTGCTGCCTGCTGTGGTGTTATGAAATGTTATAACAGCCTGCCACCAGCACGGGCCATGTACGGGATATTTCCTGTGACAGGGATCAACTTATGTAAAATATGCATCTCTCAAAGTCAAAGATCACTTTATAATCACTTCCACCAGCTTATTTTAATTGAAAGCAATTAGAAAGAAAAATATTTTTTCCATAAAAAAATTTCTTTCAGAAGATATTAGAAGAAATGTATTTGCATCAGGAATTGCAAAACAATTATGGGCTTTGTTGGTCATTCTGGTTGAAAAAATAGTGTTTGACAAAAATATAGTGTTCCAAAATGTAATGTATTTTACATTTTAATCACCATGAGGTTTATATTTAATGTTGCAATAGAAAGTAGTGTTGACAAAATATAGTGTTCCAAAATGTAAAGTATTTTACATTTGAATCACCAAGAGTTCTATATTTAATGTTGCAGTAAAAAATAGTGTTGCATCTTTTTTCAAAGTATAATTCATAATCATAAGGATTATATAGAAGATAGCATTATTTGAATGTTTTTTAATATTGTCACTTGAAAATAATCTTTTAAACATCTATTCACCTACTGAGGAGAATAAGCAGAAAAGCAAATTTTCTGAGATCCACAGAATTCAGCCGGTTTTTGTTCTGTCAAGTGTCACTTCTGAGATACGTTACAACAATATCTATATTATTGTCTCCCTGGCTCCTGGCTAATAATTCAGTGTTTCGTTGTTGGTCCTATTTTTTATTATCTTCAATGCTAAGGATTATTACTCCATAGTATGCTGTCATAGTTTTTGTGATTGGAGTTTGTGAGACAGAAAGACACAATATATTTTATGTATCGAAATATGTCCAAACAATTTATTTGTTGAGTGAAGTGTCACAATTTCCAGTGCAAAGGTGCTTCTCTTAGGCATTCCAGAACCTTTTTTTTTTTTTTGTCCGAATCGTGGTTCACACGTATCCAGGTTTGTCAGCGCCACACCCATGTTACCAAAGTCGTCACCCGTAAAGATCCGGGTTAGAATCGGTCTTCAACACTTCATGCTTGTCGTAAGAGGCCACTAATGGGATCGGGTGGTCGGGCTCATTGACTTGGTTGACACATATCATCGTATCATGATACGTATTGATGATCATGTATCGATGTTCATGCTGTTGATCACTGGATTGTCTGGTCCAGATTTATTATTTACAGGCCACCGCCATATAGCTGGAATATTGCTGAGCGCGGCGTTAAACAAACGAAAACCGAAGTGGTAAACATTTGAAACCTGCATTACTTCAGACTTTTCTTCCACATTAAGCTGACACACTGCTATGTAACTGGAACACTGTTAAAAGCGGCTTTTAACTAAGCTGACTTATTCACAAACACATCCATTCATTATCTCCCCGACTCTAGAATGACTTCACAACAATGTTTTTATCTGTTACCAGTATAATTACCCCTCAGGGCCTAGTGTACTGTTTTAGACACATTTGTAAACGTTAGTTGTAAGACACAGTCACCCCTTGTTTTCAAAGTCAAAGATGTGTAGTTTTCACATGTTTTCTGGTCAGTGCGAAGGCTAAAACAAATAGACTGACCAGGTCACTAAGAAGCGGATGAAGGCCAGAAAATAGCAATAGGTATTTGTCTCTTTCCGCATTGCTCTGGTTTTCTTCCTCGCAAAATGTTAGCTTGGCTACAAGTGAAAGATGTTCTTTCAAACTGTATGTATGATGTTTTTGTATTATTTATTACATTTGAATATTGAAATTGTTTTCAGATTCACATTTTTTACTACTGACTTCTACGCAATCGGTTGTGGAAGATTTAATGTTCACTTGTTAACACTTCCAGTTTCTTGTTCACATCTAACAGCTGGGAGGCTTTGGCATATTTTCTAACTTACATATTTTTAATGTTTAACTATTCTGTGTTATAGTCATTCTGCTTAACTACATCTTGATAAAAGGTTTTGAATATATTAATTGAAATACAAGTAGTATCACAAGATCAGGTTTTTGCCCTGACATGTTTACCTTGTTGCTATAGTGCATTAAGTCTCCATTTTGATAAATATCTGATATTCATTCACTGCCGTAACTTTGTTTTAAATAGATGTAAAATTATCTGACATTATTCTCTGATGTTTGAATCAAGTTAGCCACTGACAGTCCTCGACTTGACTTTTGTCTGCATCTTACATACAACCGGGACATCTTAAATCATTAAGACTTCCTTCCCTTAATACTCAGGAAAACATCTCTCTCATCTCATTCATTCATGACAGTTTAGTGGTATGTTTTATTAAATCACAGGTTCACTTGGGCAGGTACTATTTTGAATTAGATATTTGCCAACTCATTCAGAACAGCCACTCTGATTGGTTGTGATTTCAAACTCATGAGTAACCTTTTCTCTCACTTTCTCACTTATTCTGTGTAAATGCAATCATTGTTTACAATATAAAATTTAGTGCATTTAGCGAAAGATTTCAGCTATATTCAAGCAATATCATGGAAGGGGACAGCAGAAATGGGACCCATGTGGGAGCTGAACCTGGGTCTTCTGTGTGACAAGTGACCCCACAGCCCTGCACAAACCATAGCTATGTTTACAATTAAGGCCTGTCTGTGAAAAACAAGATATGGAGTTTTAGTGACCACGATTGAATGAATGAATCCAGTATCTGTTAATTCTAAACTGATTTTTGGCTTCACATTTGGTTTATGTAATACAACCAACCTAAATATACTGAATGGACTCTTCCATGTTTTTCAGGTAATACAAATCGAGGAGGTGGAAGTGGACCTGGCCCAGGAGGGGGTGGAGGAGGTAGTAGTGGTGGAGGAGGAGGTGGCGGAGGAGCACCTATTGGAGGTCTTGGCGGTTTGTTCGCTGGAGGAGTACCTCGATTACCTAATAAGGGCAGAACTGGAGCAGCAAATAGAAGTGAGCCAATGTGGTTTAGATGTTGTGTAATCATAATATTATCCCCAACAACATGTTTTGCTGGTTATATAAGTTTGGACCCTGTCCATCCGTGCAATTCATGTTTTCCAGAGCAGAACATAAAAACTGTTAAATATTTCTTCACCAAACTTTCAAAACTTTGCACCGAGATAGGTCTGGTGGTGAACTGGTGCCTTTGGATAGTTTTGGATTTCTGAATAAAATATGTTTTAGTGGTTCCATGGCAACAAGTTTGACTTTGACTTAAATTGGTGGTAGTGCTCTTTTCCGGTGCAGAACATTAAAACCGTTCAATGTTTCTTCACCAGATTTGGCACGTATATGTGGCACATTGATAGGTCTGGTGGTGAACTGGTGCCTTTTGTTAGTTTTGGATTTCTGAATAAATTATTTTTTTTTTCCATGGCAACAAGTTTTACTTTGACTGAAATTGGTGGTAGTGCTTCGGAGCAGAACTTTAAAACATTAATGCTCTAATTCCACTTAGTGGGTATTCAACAACCTAGTGACATAAATACAACAGTGAGAACCTGCCCCTCACACACAATGTTTCTGTTTCCAGCTCCTGGTCCAGCTCTCCGTCCCCCTGGCCCCCGGCCACCGGTGACCAATAATCCTTCCCGCCTCAGCAACGGAACAACGCCCGGTGGAGGACCACCACCGCCGCCACCACCACAGAATAAGAAATTTTCAATCCCAAATACCACAGAGTCTTCTAGCCGACCTACCCCTCCAGTGCACAACAGTACAAACGGGGTAGGCCCAGGGGTCCCGATGAGACAGCAGCCCCGGAGTCAACCTCCCCCTCCCCCTGCACGACCAGCATCAGGGAGCATATCAGGCAGACCCAGTAGTATGGTCGGAAGACCCCTGCCACCCCTCCTCCCCCACATCAGAATCAACCCCGCCACCCCTTCCCGTACTAATGCTCCCCAACCCCCAGCCGCCCCGCAGCCCCTCCCCCACCAGCTAGAACTACATCTAATCAGAGTGGGGGTACTATAGGACGATCTTACGGGCCTCCTTCTGCGCGCCCCCCTCCACCTCCTGCAAGGAAGGATGTACCTCCGCCCCCCCCCTCACACCCCTAGTGCTCCCAGTAGAGCTCCCCCTGCTCCTTCATCAAACCCTCCTCCGTTGAGGAGGCCAAGTTCTTCAAGCTCTTATGGATCAGGAGGTGATGGTAAGTGTCATGGTTCCCCATGCGGAGTTGCAATCCTTTGTTATGCCAGGATCCATAGATGATGGTACAATCTGTGTTACTCTGGGATTTCATACCACATTGAGAAGATAAGTTGGAGATAATGAAAATATAATTAACTGAAAGTCATAGGATTTTGTTGTGAGAGTCAACTAAAACAGGGCAATTACTTTGCATGACCTTGCAAGTGTGTAGCTAAAACAACATTCATTCATTCAGCTGCTTTACGGTTTAGGTCATAATGAATTCAAATTCAGGACTTTTCCCATTTGCACAATTTCCAATTCTGCAGGTCGATGCTCATGATTTCAATCACTGGATTGTCCAGTCTGGACTCCAATATTTCCAGAGTGGCTCACATTGCTGAAAGCGGATTGATCAACAATCACATTAACACATACAAACTTGAATAAATATTACCTCAACTCTTATTTAAATCGGGCGGTGGGGTAGCCTAGTGGTTAAAGCGTTGGCTCGTCACGCCGAAGACCCGGGTTCGATTCCCCACATGGGCACAATGTGTTAAGCCCATTTCTGGTGTCCCCCGCCGTGATATTGCTGGAATATTGCTAAAAGCGGCGTAAAACTAAACTCAGTCAGTCAGTTAGGCTTATTTAAATCAATCATGATGGCCAGTTCTTTGTCGTATTTGCCAACTTCAGAAGGCTGATACCTTGGAAGTTCCGACTTACTGTCTTCAGCAACCAATGTTTGTTTTGGAAAGTGACTATCAGGATCAGATGGTCAGGCTTGCTGCCTTGGTTAACACGTCATCATATTCCAATAGTGGAGATTGATGCTCATAATCCCATTGAACGATCACTGGATAGTCTGGTCCAGACTCCATTCATTACAGACAGACTGCTGTCACATAGCTGGAATATTGCTGAGAGCTGTGTAAACAATTTGGAAGTCTCGATTTATGCATTAATTTTGATGGTCTACGTTATGTTTATTCTGTTTGCATGTTAAACCATTTTCTTTTTCAGATTTTGAGAAGAATTTCCGATTCCATAGTATAAACGAGCTGCCTCCGCCAGAGCCCTTTTCAAATAGTAATAAAACATACCCCAGTAGAAATCCCAGAGGTAGTGATGGTAAGTACATAGCCACAGATGAGTTTTTGTGTATAGTACGGGAAATTACGGCTGGCTATCCATAGAGATCGAGAATCGTTAACTAAATATCAATCGATTATCAATTAATATCGGAGAATTAACTTTTAGCAAAAATGCAAATGAAAGGCCTAAAGAAATCCACATATTTCACACCCGTGAAGGTTTCAGGTTAGAATATTGATCTCCAGTAACCAATGCTTGTCGTAAAAGGCGCCCAACGGGATCGGGTGGTCAGGCTCGCTGACTTAGTTGACACATGTCATTGGTTCCCAATTGTGCAGATCGATGCTCATGCTTTTAATCACTGGATTGTCTGGTACAGACTCAATTACTTCCAGACTGCTGCCAGTTAGCTGGAGTGTGGCGTAAAACTAAACTCACTCACTCCACATATTTCACACTATTAGTGAGTGGTGTGATTACTATGAGTGCATGGATCACTAACAAAACAGCGTCCTGAACATAATTCAGAAGCAGCCCTTGAATATAAACATCACTTTGTGTATTGTGGGAGTAAAGTCAGACTTTATTCTGTCACAAAAGTTCATGTACAATATTATTGATGGCATTATTTTCATATCGATAATTATCCCCCGCAATGCGTTTTGCGGGGGGTATTAAAATGGACTCCATCTGTCCATCCGTGCGTGCGTGCGTGCATCCGTGCACATTTGTCTTTTCCGGAGAACTTTTAAACCATTCAATATTTCTTCACCAAACTTAACACATAGATTGGTCTGGTGGTGTACTGGTGCCTTTTGCTAGTTTTGTATTTTTGACGAAAATATTTTTTGTTTCCATGGCAACAAGTTTGACTTAGACTGAAATCGTGGTAGTGCTCTTTTCCAGAGCAGAACTCTAAAACCGTTCAATGTTTCTTCCCCAAACCTGGCACATACATACATCTGGTCGTGTACTGGTGCCTTTTGGCAGTTTTGGAATTCTGAATAAAATATTTTTTGTTTCCATGGCAACAAGTTTGACTTAGACTGAAATCGGTGGTAGTGCTCCTTTCTGGAGCAGAACTTTTAAAACCTTTCAATACTCTCCTTCCACTTTTCTATATACACACCTAAATATTTGACATAATCATAACTAGTAGACATATTCATGAAGAGTATTTTGCCATTGCGGGGGATATTGATGACTTTGTCTTCTTGTTATTAATATTTTCCTATCGACAATATTTCCGATTATCGATCTTTTTAGCCAGCCATATGATAAATACATCACAGTTACACAGTTATATTGTGTTGCTTGTGTGCAAATATACATGGAAATGTTCTGATTATTGTTAGTTAGATGTATATATCACAGTCACGTTACACATTTGGTGCATCACATGAAAAGGTAGTAATTAGCAGTCATCTAGCACAGCATTTCAACCAGAAATATTATTAAAAATGTCTTCTCCAGAGAGTAAAATACAGTCAAGCACTGTTGTTCGAACATTGATGTGTCAAACTTATTGTTGTCTTAAAGTAAAACCATGTTCCTGCATATTCTTTCATAGTAATATTTTTAAAGTTGTCTTCTCAGTATATTTTAATAATTCTATGAATTGTTATTTACCTATACAGGTGTGTAATTAATCTTGGGCCCATGTCTTTTGCAGGAAGTCAAAGAAGAGCGCCCCCGCCTCCTCCCCCGCGGTGAAAACACGGCTGATTGACATAGGAGAAACATAGAAGTCGTATACTATTGCTGTGCAATTGTGACCCTATTGTATAAAGAAGACTGAGAAGCCGTCTTGGATCACATCTGCCTCGAGATCTATGTGCTCATCTCAACCCCTCGTCCAGGATCGGTTGAATTTCTGGGACGCTGGTTTCATTTCTTTTGAGGAAGATTTTGTTTTTCTTTCATCTGCGATTTGTAACATTGACCATGTATAAGTAATTGATGAATGTGTCGACGCTGTTTCATCGGAGTGGAACGTGTCGTCGATGTCAGTGATTGACACCTGCCATGTTTATATCAAAACAAGACTACGGCATTCAGTTCTGTTTCCCCGAAACAAACTAGGTGCTGAGAAACGAAGCACAATATTTCTGGATACTGGACGCTTATTCGCTATTGACATGTATATAGGTGGCGCTACGCTGGACGTGTATATAACACAGCAAACAGTCATTCATCTCTGCTTGTAGCTTCCTCGTAGGAGTGAGATTGTGGAATGATTGCATTCACATGTACTCTGTGTTTGGACCTATATGTTGCATCTAGTTAATTATTTGCATTATTCCAAATACTGCTGATGTTATGTTCGGTTTGCATGTATAACTTGTATTCAACCGTCTTAATTCCATCATTTCATGCTTTTTGACTAAGCCTGTACTTTATTTAATAGAAGAACAATACATTTTTTAAGCTATTGAGAAACATACTTGCTATATGAATTACCGGTATTTCTCAGAGTGTATCTGACATGACAAAATTGTTTTTAAGGTGGCGACAAATGATTCTTGTTGAGAACTATCATGAAGTATTCGATTTCTCGCTATGCAAGTTATAAATAACCTTTTTCTACTTCTTGTAGCTACTCAGATGTAACTATGTACCTTTCACTTTGTAGCTTTAAGACCAAGGCACAAGACTAAAGCCCTTCCATATTCAGTGTAGATACATAGGGCGACTTGATGGTGCAGAATCATTCCATTCCAAGTATTTAGTGGTATTCATTTGCATGATGACTTGTATTTATCTCCCTTTGGTGTTCCTATCAGGTATGATCCTCAGCTTGTGTCAGTTACTTCCCTTGACAATTAAGACTGGATACCAACCTGTACATTTAAATATGTTATTTAAAATTCATAATCTTTAAAACTAATGTATTATGTTTAAAATTGATCATTCTTCCGGTATCATCATCTTGAAAAGTTATTGCATGCTATGATATTAGTGTTGTGATGAAGGCATGAAATCAAGGGGAGGTAACTCACATGAGACAGGATTTAACACCAGCATTGTATTCTATTGGTGAAGGAAAGAACATTGCTCAAACTGAGACTTTACTCTGCATTTAAGCCAATGCAAGAATGCCCATATTTGTTTCAAAACTGACAGTAGTTGACTCAGTGATGTCAGGATTAGATGTAGTATGACATGGGATAGGTCAGCCTGGTCTGTTTCAGTATTTCACTGTCAGTGAAGAGAAATACTTCACTTTACAGAGTTATCTCCCATAGCTGTGCCAGTATCTGATGTTCAAGGGTTTTCATGCTAGATTTGCATCGATTATGGTATTTGGTCTTTCATCATAATCATCATAATTCTGCTTGTTAGCTTCTAAAATTACCGCCTATGACATGTCACTCCCTGCACAACCTCCACATTGAGGTTACATGCTATAAGTTACATAAATACTGTTGGGCGTGGTCTTAAATCAACACCCTGGAATATTGCTAAAAGCATCATAAACCATACTCGCACACTCATACATCAGGAATACCAGCTTACATAATGGTTTAGACATATGTTAAGTAGATTTACCGAATTGTGTAGATAGATGCTCCTGTTGTCAATCACCAGATTGTCTGGTCCAGAATCGATTATTTACACACTGCTGCCATATAGCTGGAATATTGCTGAGTGAGTGGGGCATAAAACTTAACTCACTCACTCACTAAAGTAGGTTTAGATTACTACTATATATGTATGATATGAATGACAAGACCAGCTGTGTTGGGTATTCTTGTATTGGCAGAATGGCATCCAAAAAGCTAGGATGTTTTTTTGTAGCATAGCTTCACATCAGCAGCAGCCAGATTTGGGGGATGGGGGAAGGATATCTTATCATGGAAGGAGGACTTGATGTTTTAGAGGGACGGTGTCGAAGGTTAATGGTGAAAACATTCACTTGTTACACTGAACACCTTGGTTTGATTCCCCACATGGGTACAATGTGTGAGGTCCATTTCCGGTGTCCCTTGCTGTGATATTTCTGGAATATTGTTAAAAGCAGCATAAGACCTTACTCTGATAATTTAGGATGTCCACTAGTCTGAATTCAAAATGTGCAACTTTTTCTGAGGGCATTTTTTTTTTTTTTTCAAAACTAGATAACTTAATACCACCATTGTGCACGGGCCAGTATTACCTACTGTGCTTTGCTGTTAAGGCATATGTCAAAATCACTTTTTTTTTCACAGATTTGCTCAAAGTATTATAATTAGTATTAAAAACATTCTCAGTGCCAATATAAGAAGGAATTACATTTACCCTTAACTCCTCCAAGGTTTGAATGATTGATTGTTTAACACATTGACAAGTGACTAAAACGAAGGATGATCTAAAGAATTCTTGACCAAACAAAAATCCTTCACAATTCAGTAACATTGTCCCATTAACATTCAGACCCTATCGTTGTTTCAGGGGCTAGGTGAACGTTTCAGGAGCTGGGTGAATGTTTCAGGAGCTGGGTGAATGTTTCAGGGGCTAGGTGAATGTTTCAGGGGCAAGGTGAATGTTTCAGGGGCTAGATGAATGCTTCAGGGGCTAGATGAATGCTTCAGGGGCTGGGTGGTCATTTCAGGGTGGTCATGATTCAAGGGCAAGATGAATGTTTCAGGGGCTGGGTGGTCATGATTCAAGGGCAAGATGCATGTTTCAGGGGCTGGGTGGTCATGATTCAAGGGCAAGATGGATGTTTCAGGGGCTGGGTGGTCATTTCAGGGTGTTTCTTTCAGGGGCTAGGTGAACGATTCAGGGGCTGGGTAGATGATTCAGGGGCTAGATGGTTGTTTCAGTGGCTGGTGTGAAGCTATGTATACAGGGAGTAGTACAACAGGGATCTTTCTTCCAGGGCTCACTGTATGTAGTGGATATAGTAGTTATTCCACACTGTGTATAACCATTATACAAGGCAACATGACATATCTTTTATATTGTACAGGTCGGGTGGCACTCTATGCCACAGTTGATTTTAATGATGCCAGACCTTACACAGGTCTTATATGTTACAGATGACAATAAGGGCAACCGTATTCACCTAATAAGCACTCGCTTGCATTAGTATTGAGTTTTAAGGTCCCACTTAACAATAATTTCAATATTATACCAGGTTTCATGAAACTGCACATGTATAAATATAAATATGTTTGTATTAAAATGATCTTTCACAAGTCTGAACATTTGCCCCTGTCTTCTATATTGTTATAACTGCCTCTCTTGCATTATAAATATCGGCAGAATGCCTTGTGTGCTTATTGGGAGAACGATGATGCCTGTATTTAGGATACATCTGGAAAGAGGGATTCTTGCGTGAGATATTACGATAATTGTTTCAACATTTGTGAATTTATCTTCAGTGAAAGGAAAGTATATTAATCTCTCAATTTCCTTGATGCTAATTACTGCAGAGTTGCTGATGTGGCTTTAGGATGTATTTGCTCTCACTCACTCACTCTCACACTCACTCACACACACACACACACACTCACTCATGTTTGAGAAAATGTTGCTTCTTTTAGTATACATGACAGCCTTAGTTTCGATGAGATTATCTTTCCAAATCACTTATTTGCAGCAGTATCTAATGCCTAAATTTTAGATGAAAATTTACGGTTTCTTCTGTGCAGAGTTCGTTCCCTTTGACGTGAAAGGCTCTGCTGATTATGGAATTCAAACCCAGATACTCACGGAATCTGTCATCACCTTATCCTGTGGATTACATGTTAAATGTTGAAGACATAGGGCCCAATGCACAAAGTGAGCATAGCACTAAGACACTTGTTTATCTATGATAACTACGTAAGTTACGATAACTTCTAATTCTGTGACCACTTTGTGGATCTGATCCTAGGATCGGTTCCACAAAACTGTTCTGGTACTGAGGTGGTGGAAACTCCATATTTAAACACAGACCGGCAACTCATTGTGCCACAAATGCTTTGTGGAATGGATCCTTGAGGTCGGTTCCACAAATCTGTTGTAGCACTAAGGCGATCGAAACTCCCCTACTTTAACATAGACCAGTAAATCATTGTGCTACGAACGCTTGTGCAATTGGGCCATGGGGTCAGCTGTTCTAGCACTGAACCGATCGAAAGTCCCACACTTTAACTTAGAATTACGACTGTTATAGCGCTATTATCACTTTGCAGAACTGGGCTCTGCATCACTTTGGGCTTCCTCTCCAGATAAGGCAGTGGCATTATGGTGGCATTATGATACACCGTAACACTTTGAGTGTTGCCCGGACTTATTACAAACATGATATTAGGTTTAACTACCTGGTCCTGCCTCTGTTTCCAGATGGATCATGAATACTGACACGTGATCTTACATTCTGTAGCTCTCCTAGATAAAACTGATCATATCACCCGGGAATTATTGTGTGTTATTTATACTGATCATAATATACACGTAGTGATGCTGAGAGCTTGAATGTCTCACAGTATGGATTGTGAGAGACTGAGTGTGGTTGGGTTTTGTCTGGGAAGTTTTAGAATATTTGATCCAGGTCCTGTTTGTTTGCATGCGATATAGCTACAAAGTCCCCTAGTACTTTAAGCATATACAGAAGTATCTTCACCAACTCTCAACTCCATGTCATGTTTTGTTTGATTACCCCACACTCGGTAATGTTCTGGCCATATGCTAATGATCTGTAAGTCAGAAAACCTGGACTAGACAATCCCAGTGAGAATTGTTGTGGACAAACATCCATGCCATCAACCAAGTAACTTAACCAGACCACCTGATCCCTTTGTTGCTTCTTACGATGAGCAAGGAACTTCTGTTGTTTCCAAGAGTACCTAGGGCAGTTGGGTAGTCTAGTGGTTAAAGCGTTGGCTCGTCACGCCGAAGACCTGGTTTCGAATCCCCACATGGGTACAATGTGTGAAGCCCATTTCTGGTGTCCCCTGCCACGATATTGCTGGAATATTGCTAAAAGCGGCGTAAAACCAAACTCAGTCAGTCAGTCCAAGAGTACCTGAATGTGTGAAGCAGACGGTCAGAAGTGCCATCAGTCAAGTCACTGAGTCTTACCACCTGATCCCTTCAGTGGCCTCTCACCATGAGCATAGGACTCTGGGAACCTATATTCTTTCCAAGAGGGTGGGGTAGCCTAATGGTTAAAGCGTTGGCTCGTCACGCCGAAGACCCGGGTTCCAATCCCCACATGGGCACAGTGTGTGAAGCCCATTTCTGGTGTCCCCGCCGTGATGTTGCTGGAATATTGCTAAAAGCAGCGTAAAACTAAACTCAGTCAGTCCAAGAGGTTGGCGGAGTAGCCAGGTGGTTAAAGCTGTGGCTCATTATGCTCAAAAGATCCAAGTTTCGTTTTTGCAAATTGGTACAATGTGTGAAGCCCTTTTCTGGTGTCCCCAGTCATAATATTGTTAGAATACTGCTAAAAGCAGCGTACAACTGTACTCTTTCCAAGACTACCTGAATGTGTGCAGCAGATGGTCAAAAGTGGAATATTCATTTTCCAATAGAATGTAATCATGACACAATAAATCCTCCAGTGATAACATCGCAGAGAGTGGAGTGTTAGGACTTGGTGCTTTACCTCTTGTTTAAAGTGGCATGTCATCAATGAAAAACGGGGCGGTGGGGTAGCCTAGTGGTTAAAGCGTTCGCTCATCACGCTGAAGACCCAGGTTCAATTCCCCACATGGGTACAAAGTGTGAAGTCCATTTCCGGTGTCCCCCGCTGTGATATTGCTGAAATATTGCTAAAAGCGGCGTAAAACCAAACTCGTTCACTCAATGAAAAACTGCTCAAACACAATTTGTCCCATTTCACCTGAAACATTACTGTCCAGGATAACTCAAGTTGTGTGAGAACATGCGTTTGTCATCCTTATCATGATGATCATGATGAACATGATTTCAATCACTGGATTGTGTGGTCTTGATCATTTACAGACTGCATGATATGGCTGGAGTATTGCTGAGCGTGTAGTTAAGCAACAAACAAAATGATGGGAGTAAATTCGCCATATACATTGTCAAAAGACCATATTTAGAAGAAACAAATCGTATATCAAGAAATGTTTTTATTTGTAGCCCTAATGAAGATACATACTGGTACTTGCCTTTTTAACCTGTAATGACATGTTCAGAAGACATTGGTACAGACTCTTGGGTAGACTGGAATGAGATTTCACTGAAGAGTTTTCATGTTTTAATTTAATTCAAGGCATTAAAAATTAGTCTCAGGAATTGTGTTGTCATTTGGGTTTTTAATGTTTGCTGACTAGGGTTCTGAATGCTATATATGTTCAAACATTTTCTTGGAATGAGATTTAAGTGTGCCGCTTTAAGTTGAAGTGATCAAATCGAAGTCAGTGTTGCTGAAACGTTCCCTGACTTTGTTGAGAAATTTTGCTGATATGCATTCACTTTTTGCACACTTGAAGCAGTAATTGTAACTGAAATCTTATGGTGTTATGTAACACACTGTTTGGTTTATTTAAAAGATGAAGAGACGATCTTCAATTTGTCATTCATGGATAACGTTATGTTTTATTTTGGGTGTAGTCTTGTGGTTCAAGCATTTGCTCATCATGCCAAAGTCCCAGGTTCGATTCCCCACATGGGGCAATGTGATATTGCTGGAATATTGTGATGTAAAACACAATTCACTCTAGTGTTGGGAATTGGTTGAAATCTCACAATTGATGATTGCTTCATTACCAACGAACGATCATCGAAAAAAATTGGTTAGCGTCATTTTTCAGATTTTCCTATCCAGGTTGTTATTGCAGATATGTATAACATGATGCAACTTGCTACTTTAAAGTGATGACTGATATATCATGAACATAAATTTCCCGGAGTCTTTTATCCCAAATTCGTTTTATGTTCGATTATGAGAAAATGTGATCGATTGCTTGGTTGTTTGGTCACTGCGACCAATCTTCGATTATTTCAATTAATTGGAACACCACTGATTCACTCACTCACTATTTTGAACTGATTTCTGTGCCTTTGACTTATTGCGTGTGTAACTATAAATGTCTGGAATGTGTCCAGACTACATGAGACTTAACGTCAAGATCTAGTATATGAAGAGTAAAAAACATCCAAACGTCTTGATCATAACAGTAAATAATCGCTTTGGCTTCTGGTGTGATCTGTTTTGATTTTAGTTCCAATGAGACTTTCATGAACAAATCTGATAGTCTGAGGGTGTATTGATTGCCAAAAAGTGTTGCTTTTAGAGCTTTGTGTGTTTATATCTTTGTAATTGTTTATTTGCAATTACAGCCATGGGAGTTGGAAAGATGGACACTGTTTGATGTAATAGATTTGGTGGATGTAGACCAGGAGATATTAAACGTTGATTCTGATATTCCCCCGGAGAAGCCACATTGGCATAATACTGGGACTCTTCGAACAGCATTTAGTAGTGATACATATAAAGGCCAGAATTTATGGATGTTAGCTTAAAAAATAAAGAAGTTGACATCCATAAGTTCTTGCCTTTATAATACTGGGACTGTTTCAAGCTTTGTCACTGCTTCAGGTTGTTCATAGTGCCAGAGGGCGGTGAGGTAGCCTAGTGGTTAAAGTGGACACTCGTCACTCCGAAGACCCGGGTTCGATTCCCCACATGGGTACAATGTGTGAAGGCCATTTCTGGTGTCCCCTGCAGTGATATAGCTGGAATATTGTTAAAAGTGGCGTAAAACTGAACTCACTCACTCACTCATAGTGCCAGACAAGGTTACTGCCTCTTTACAAATATGATCACTCTTTATTTTTAGCCATACTAAAGCAATTATAAACTTGCTGTTTTATTTACATTCTGCTGATTTCAAATAGCGGTCTGTTTTTATTTCATGTTTCAGGAATGAACATGAAAGGAAGACACATATGTCTTGATTTTAAACAAATATTTTCGGGGCATTTCATTTTGAAGGGGAAACTTTGTAGAAGTTATCCAACCAGGACTATTTTACAAAATAATACTTTGGGAATTGTCAATTTGTTTTGGCAGGCATCGTATTGGAATTTGTCACTAAAAAGCCATGCCTGTCTTAAGAGGTACTATACCCCTAGGTTGCTGATCGATGCTGACAATGTCAGTCACTGGCTTGTCTGGTCCTTTAAATATTTACAAGCCGCCTTCATATAGTTTGGATATTGCTGAGTGTGACTTGAACCAACAATCATTACTTTCTTTGAATTCATGGGTATACTTCATGCATTATTTCCTTTAAATCCTTTTTAGTATGTCCATTTCCCCTTTGGGTAATGAAAATTAGGTCTAGGTAGAGTAGAAGAAATATGTTATATTTGTTGGGAAGGTGTTGTGATCTGGTTGATAATTGTGTTCCAATCGAATTGTTTGGATGTCACTGATATTACCATGTATATGTAACGTGAAGATCTTAATTAGAATTGATCTGCAGCAACCCATGCTTGTCATAAGAGGCGACTATCAGGATCTAGTCGTCAGGAACACTGACTTGGTTGACACATGTCATCGTATCCCATTTGTGTAGATCAAAGCTCATGCTGTCGGTCAATCACTGGATTATTTACAGACTGCCGTTATATTGATGAAAAATTGCTGAGTGCGGCATTTAACGTCAGACAAGCATGCTTATCTCTCACAGATTTTTAATATAAATTTAGTACGCAATGGGCTGGTCCCAAATTTAATTTTGGAGTAATTGATTTATAAGTAATGTGGGGGTGATTTTTAAACCTTTCTTTGTGGAGTTGGTCCTTTTAAACATGCTTGAGTTGATTTGTTTGTGATTTGAGATCCTGTAGTATGTGAGTGTACTTCTGATGGAAGCAAGTAAGAAATTACGTAACCATCATGGTATGAGTCTCGTGAGTGGCTTGTATAATCAATCAAGGACGAGTGTGTAATGAACAATGTATTAGAAAAACATTTGAATGACAATCATTCTAATGAAGAGGAAGCTTTTGTAATTTCACAATAGGATCAATATTCTTTTGGCCAGTTGATATGATTTTTGTGAAGCATATTTCTGTGGTTTTGAAAACTGTGGTTGCATGTACAGGGTTTGCTTTCTGAAGATGTTTACAAGGACATCGCTTGCTTTTTAAAGTACTTGAGTTATATTTCATGACATGAAGGAAAGACTTTCACCACTAGAACAATGATATATTTTAAATGTTTGGCCAGTTGAGATCATTAACTGTGAAAATTTTTGAATAGATTCATGAAAGGATTTGACCCTGTTTTCCTTTTCAAACTAATGAAAACAAATGTGAAATTGAAACTTGAAATCACCCCAGTGAGAAAGCTTCACTTAGTCAAAGGGAGGCAACTCTTAAGGGTGCCAGTTCACAGTGTCCCATGGATTGTTTGGTAGCTTTGGCGTATGATGTTTCGTCTTCTTTAAGGAAAATACTGATTTCAATCTAAAAGCATGTATTACAGTTTAGCTTTCACTCCATGCCAGTCTTTTAGCAAATGTGACAAATGAAGGTCATTTTCATTTCTAACAATCATTACTCACTATTGTAATTTGGACCATTATTTCTTTATTTGTTGAATCAAAAGTCCACATTTCAGAGGAAGGGAAAAATGACATTTGGAACCTAGTTCCCTTTGATCTTCAGTTGTTTACGTGTGTAAAATATTGACTTTTTTACATTGACTAGTATGTTAATTTAGGCAAACATTGTGAGGATTCTAGATTTATCAAGAATGACTGACTGGGGAAAAAATTACGAAATATTTTTGTCAGTGTAAATGTTATAGAGTAACATTGACCTGAATGTCAATAAAAATATTTCGAAATGTGTTTGATGAAATTCTCAAGTATTGTCCTTGGAAGCAGAAAATACATATTTACACTGAATTGTCCTTGGTATCCGTTGCTTTGAGCATGTGTCTGAAATTGTTGATGTGTTGGCTTCTCTTCAGTTGCAATGATTATTCTGTGCCTGCTTCAGATATTCTGGTATTGAAATACAGTTGTCTTGAAGTGTTTGTAAATGCTTTTGCCTCCTTAATGTTTTCAGATGCAGGCAAGCTTAGATTAGGCACATGCTTGTCTACCGAAGCTGTTGACAAACATGAACCTAACCTAGGCCATTTGCATCTTTCTATTTCAACAAGTTACATTTTACTATTTTTGTCTTTACAAGTGGAAATGAGATCCAGGGATCAATCGAAACCTGTTCAGAGGCCGATATTTGGTCCCAAGCCTGCAGTACGTAACATCCCAATTTGATTGAACATTTCCTGAATTTTTGAAAACTTGGTCCAGAATTGGATTTTCTAAATGTTCATGTCCCAGTTTGCAACAGGCGCTAAATTGAAATACTTGAGATGGAGTTGTTTCCTGAAGATATTCAAGTTCTTGTTCTTACAGATTCTAATATGTCAATTTTTATCAATAAGATTTTTAAATCTGTAAGTATGTCCTTCCTTGGACAACTAATCCCTCCCTCTCCTACAACAAGCACAGCATGCATCGTGTGTATTACGAGTCCTGAGTGTCTGTACTATTGTGATTTCAGGGGCAATGTTATATACATGCAAACAAATCTAATTTTTGAATAAACTGTCAAAATGGACGTTGTCTTTATTGTGAACCCCCAGAGTGCACTTCTTTTTATAGTTCAGCCGGATGTTTGGTTGTTGAGTGCCATGCTCAGCAATATTCCAGCTGATATGGCGGCAATCTGTTAATAATCAAGTCTGGACCAGACAATCCATTCATCATAAATTGGGATATGATGACAGAGTCTTTGAAGGGCATTTAGATGAAGACACGAGTTTTTTTATGGATGACAACTTCTTTATTGTGAAGGGTCACGATGTTTCGAAGTATGTTCTTACTGCTTCATCAGGTGAATGAAACGAGTAAGAACATGTACATATATAACTGTTTGTTCCTAATTGTTTCATTCACCTGATGGAGTAAGAAAATACTTCGAAATGTCGTGACCCTTCACAATAAAGAAGTAGTCATCCATAAAAAATACTCGTGTCTTTATACAATGACATGTCAACGAGCCATCCCCAAGCATGGGTTACTAAAGAACAACTCTAACAGTTCTTCACAGGGGATATAGCAAATATATAATACCTGAGTAATATTTCTGCATTCAAACTACGCTTGACTTGTAGCTGACATTCCACACTGCCTCACAACCAGCCACTCAAAGAAACTTCTGCAACAATCCTTCTTATGAATCAAAGTTTCATTCATTTATTTTTCATCAATTTGTTACAACGCAAAAGCAAAAGCAGTGTCACTTCTGGCAACGCTTGATAGCAATGTGCAATGTGCACTACAATGAATACCATAATAAATGCTGGTGATTCAGGTTGTTATCGGGACCTGAGAGTCCCAATACCTAATTTCAAGAATCCTTACAGGAAATATAAGGTTTCTGTAACTTTTTTCTAACTTTCAATCATTAAGTGGGTTTAATTTTACGCTTCTTTCAGCAATATTCCAGCAATATTATGGCGGAGGACACCAGAAATGGGCTTCACACATTGTACCCATGTAGGGAATCGAACCCGGGTCTTCAGCGTGACGAGCCAACGCTTCAACCACTAGACTAACCCACAATCATTCAGTACATACCAGGAAGTTTATATTTCTTGTGGAGAATTTACTAGAGAATATTATTTGCGTCCCTTGTCGTCCATTCTATACAATTGTATGGACCTGACAGAGATTTCTTCATCACATAAAACTCTGGTGACTGTTGCAGATATTTGGGATTTGTTACTAGTATACCAATATGACCAGCTAACACACATACAGATATTGTGAATAAATATTTCATAATTTTTGTCCAAAGTCCCAAATTTGTTAAATTCATAATTGTACCATGTGTCCTCCTCCTCTATCATCACACACCAAATATGGCTACATGTTGTTTCTACCAAACTTCAACTCTCGTAACTGACAATGCCAGAAATGGGCTTCAGACACCGTAATGATGTGGGAATTGAGCCTTGGTGACGAGCCAAATATCGGAACAACTGAATGTACAACTCAGTGTTGACATATGTGTATAAAATAAATTTCTAAATGTATTGCAAGCCTCCATCATATCTGACTAGCCCCAAACACTTATGATAACAATATAACAATAGAAATTGGCACTAAAAGACTTCTTAAAGATTCAATACATATATATCTTCGACTAGAGTTTTCAAATATAGTTGGGCCAGCTTTGTGGACATGTTATGAGCCTAAACAAGAAATCACTGTCAATTAGATAACGGCAGCTACGTTGAACACATAGTTCCAAAATTATCCATTTTTCTATCAAATCGTAAAATCAGTCTTTCAAACTACCATATTCTCACTGATCATCTTCTAGTCTGTGAGTTCTCCCAATAAATGCAGTGCTTCAGCCAGGATTTTTGTGAGTGTTGCCAATAGGCACCGTAACTACTAAAATCTGTGCCAATACAGTGAAGACTTTTGCCATTCATGGTAACCATGGTATAGAAGCCCTGTGGATTATATTAAATGTTGTGCCAATGGGCTCTCTAGCATTGGACAAAAGTGCCATTATATATTTTTTAGTGTGAATGGCACAATGGCGCTTGGCTGGCTGAAGCACTGTAAATGCATTATTTAAATACCTGACATTTACACAACTATTTGACTGAGACTGTTAGAGATTTTTCATCCAAATGTAGCGGCATATAAATACAATAAAAAGTGTTCTAGATTCAAAGATGTTTAACTGCTTGTTTTACTTATATTTGTCCGCAGAAAAACTAAAGGCAGGAGGGAATAAAAATAAAAATAAAATCTCCAGTCAAAGTAATATTCCATCTAAATATAGAAAGTATTTTACTTCTGGCAATTAATGCAGTGCATATGGGGCAAAAAACAATTAAACAACCTTTCTTGTAAGTTTACATATTTGGCCAATAAAAACATAACGATTTTAGAAAATTAATTTATATTTTTTTTCTTATTCTTGAAAAAATATGATGCCGGATCCGTAAAACCAAAAATAAAATTGGTCTGGCCTAAGTTTGCTGTTCACCAATCAATCTTATGTTTGAATTATATCAGAGATCTCACCCTGTGGTGTTTTTAAGTGCTCAGGGCCCTTTTAACATTGAATACAGTAAATAAATCAACACACTGAAACAAACATGTATGTACAATCAACTCAGAATTCATTATTGCACAAATTAATTCAATCAATATTAACTATAGACAAGCACACTCCAAAATATTCATATTTACATATATTCATATCTCAAATATTTTAAAATAATCTGATATACATGACACAGTTACATAGATTTTTCTTTAACTTTGTGGTTACCCAAATAGCAATGATTTTATGAGTCCATCAAAGAACTCTCATGAGTTGGGGCCTCACTGAGCCAGTGTCGTGTACCCTGAAGAAGCATGGTGCATTTTATTGCTCAACTGAAACCAAAAATGTTTAAAAGCAACAACTGAAACTTCTGAGCTATCAGTAGAAAATCTCTGTGTTCTGTCCTTGGCACTTCAGAATCTATGGAATGGTTCATCAGCATATAACATACAAATAAATATTAAAGGTCATAAACAAAACAAATCAAAACACTATAACAAAACAAGAGTCATAAAACCCTACCTAAGATGAGGGGAGGTGCCATGAGGTTTACATTTGATTGTAAATACTTTGATTTGATAGCCCTTCTAGTATACTAGTCAGTAGTCAGCACCATTGGACCATATAGGTGTCTTCACCATCAGACCATACAGGTGTCGTCACAATCGGACCATATAGGTGTCATCCCCATTGGACCATACAGGTGTCTTCACCATCAGACCATATAGGTGTCATCCCCATTGGACCATACAGGTGTCTTCACCATCAGACCATACAGGTGTCGTCACCATTGGACCATACAGGTGTCTTCACCATCGGACCATACAGGTGTCTTCACCATCAGACCATATAGGTGTCTTTGCTATTAGATTATACAGGTGTCTTCACCATCAGACCATACAGGTGTCTTCACCATCAGACCATATAGGTGTCGTCACCATCAGACCATACAGGTGTTGTCACCATTGGACCATACAGGTGTCTTCACCATCAGACCATATAGGTGTCTTTGCTATTAGATTATACAGGTGTCTTCACCATTGGACCATACAGGTGTCTTCACCATCAGACCATACAGGTGTCGTCACCATTGGACCATACAGGTGTCTTCACCATCAGACCATACAGGTGTCGTCACCATTGTGTCTTCACCATCGACCATACAGGTGTCTTCCACCATTGGACCATACAGGTGTCTTCACCATCAGACCATCAGACCATACAGGTGTCGCCACCATTGGACCATACAGGTGTCTTCACCATCAGACCATATAGGTGTCTTTGCTATTAGATTATACAGGTGTCTTCACCATCAGACCATATAGGTGTCATCACCATTGGACCATACAGGTGTCTTCACCATCAGACCATATAGGTGTCTTTGCTATTAGATTATACAGGTGTCTTAACCATCAGACCATATATGGTGTCATCACCATCGCACCATACACGTGTCTTCATCATCAGACCATATAGGTGTCTTTACCATCAGATTATACAGGTACCCCAACTCAAGAAGCAAGTTAATTTTTCAGCAAAGAGAATTGTGATGTGCTAAACTTTGACGAATCATTACTGTTCTGTTGAGTTCACACAGACAATATCAACATTAGAAATGCCCATCCACACTGAGACTAGATTTCTATGTGACCATCAACTCATTAATACCTGTTACATGTATCTTCTCTAACAGGATCTTGTCTGTGAATTCACTTTAGGGTCGTCATCCAATCAAAAGAATAATATCACAACAGAACTTGGAAAACATGCTGGCCAACTGGTCAAATACTAATAAACATATAAAAGGGATCCTACTTCTAAACTAGAGAAGGTCAAACTTATTTCAGAAACAGAAATGCCAGTGTCCTTAATATGCTTCCCGTTTGCAAAATGGTGAATATTTGTGTTAATCGAGTGATATTAAGTCAGACATTTTTCAAACATCAGAAAACTGTCAGTAGGCCAGTGATTCTTCTTGTATAAGCACTTGCACCAGCTATTTGTCGAAACCTGAAATGATCTTACATGCATCGTGGGAAACAAGAATAAATACAAATCCTTGATTACATATACAAACAACATAATACTGAATAAATAAACTCCATTCAACACATATACAAATCATACCAACAAAACGTAACAATCATGAAAAGGCAGGTGTCGTCAAGTCAAACCATTTTATCCTGACAGTGTTTGACTGCAGCATCAGATACAGACTCCGCTACACTTCTTGTTAGGACAGTTTCACCTGGCGAGGCCAAGAGTATCAGACTGGAGATGTTTTCATATAAATAGTATCTTGATGGAGTTAGTGTACTGTCAGCATTAAAGTAAGGTATCATAATGATTTTGATATATTTTAATGCTCTGAATTTAGTGTGATATGCCAGTGTCCCTTCTAAGCATTATTGCATCACAGTAAACAATAGCTCTCTCAAAGCCTTCGTGTTTTTCTTAAACAGTAAATGTAATGCCTCAATTCAGCTCATCCAGCAATGCCTGGACAGATAAGACAGCTGAAGGCAGCTGATCAAGAGTGGCGGTTCCTGTGTAATAGCAAAGCACTGAGTGGACTGATTCAAACAGATGACGACAAAATAACCAAGTCGATTATCACAGTTGAGACTGCTGTAACTGTCCGCTTCCCGTTGTCTTCTAACACGGAACATAATCATCAATGTTGAGGAATTTATAGAAGTAGGGCAAATCATGAAAGTGGTGTTCTCCCGTCACATGAGAAATACAGCGCCCCAGGACCAGGTTGCGGCCATACGAGATGCATTCCCACGGTCTCGGCAAAGCCCAGCTTTTATCAGCCAATCACAAAGCTCGTTTCCAGTAAATACATTGTGGTACTTCTTTAACCGGTATCTGAAACAGGTAAATGTACTTGTATTCGATTACCTAAAAGGTTTGAGTCTGTCATATTAACATGGCAAGATGCCTATTACGTCACAGGCACCACACATTGCACTAGGGATCAAACCCAGGACTTCAGTGTGATGCGCCATAATAACTGCTGGGCATCCTTTCACAAAGCACTAAGGTGATCGTAAGTCACTAAGGTAACCTTAGTGCACTGTTAAATAATGGGAGTTAAGGTTAACCTTAGTAAAGGTTGCTTCGTGAAAGGAGCCCCTGGACTATAAGCCCAGGAACAGATACAACTAGGGTCTTCGAACACATTAACCACTAGACTACCCCACCGCCATATGTGAAACAGTGAGACAAACACCCCACACTGCGGACAACATCAAGGGATGTGAATCGGATGGAAAACTTAACATTTGTGATCTTACCTTTGATCTCTGACAATTTGCTTCTCACAGTTTTCTTTGTGATATTCTTTGAACTGATCACAAACATTTTGTGTCTCCTCACTGATCTCATCCCGTTTCGGCAGCTGGACGATCTCGACTCCATAAATGATACGTCTTGCTCTGAAACACACAGACACTCTGCACCAAAGGTCTTTGTGGAAACATCCTTTACAATATATCGTAGGACACAAGGATAAATGATCACAGCATGATTCTTGATTATATCCATGTATGATAAGAAAGGTATGCTACTTTATGGACAACGTCTTCATTACATTATGATGTGGCATTTCGGTATAGGTGCTAATACTGTTGCCAATCAAACAGAATATACATGTATAGTATGAGTGAGTGAGTGAGTGAGTGAGTTTAGTTTTACGCCGCACTCAGCAATATTCCAGCTATATGGCGGCGGTCTGTAAATATTCGAGTCTGGACCAGACAATCCAGTCATCAACAGCATGAGCATCGATCTGCGCAATTGGGAACTGATGACATGTGTCAACCAAGTCAGAGAAACTGACCACCCGATCCCGTTAGTCGCCTCTTACGACAAGCATAGTCGCCTTTTATGGCAAGCACATGGGTTGCTGAAGACCTATTCTATCCCGGATCTTCACGGGTCTATATTATGAAGATACTTGATAACTAGTTGTATGCTAATAGCATGTTAGGAAAATAACTGTCATTTTATCCCTAATCATGGCCATTAATACATAATTGATGATGGATAGAAAATATTTTACCAACATTATTATTCAGTAAAGTTCAATCTCAGCAGCTACAAATCAACTGATGATCTGCTGATAAATCCTCAGTCTCCCAACAACTCCCAGGCGGATATCCAGGACAGATTTTTAAAATTTTATTATGATGAGAAAGATAAGAGTGGTTTCAATTGTGATGAAACTTTTGTTTATCAAATTTGGCGTTTGTGGCTTTTAAATGAAAAAAACCCCAAAACAACAAAAACAAACCAAAACATGAATTTCGTTCTGACATAACTATCTGAAATATTAGCATTGCAAATACATATTGAAACACACGCACACGCACGCATGCACACGCACGCAATCTCAAGTCATAAGAAGTGAGGAAACCCCCAATGACAGTTAAGGTTTCGGATATATTTTTTCGCAATCACAGAAATATAGAATTGTTGAGGGACTGAAGAGGTAGAATGTGCCACGTTTTTACAGCGGGTGATACACAATCCCATTTAACACAGAAGTACATGCACAATCAACAACACAGTATCATCTGGGAGGGGCTTGTGGTTAGATGTCATACATTCGGCATATTAACAGTTAGTGGTTAGTAACAGTTAGTGGTAAGGCATATATACCGTGCATGTTAACAGTCAATGGTGATGTTCATATACTGTGGGTTATTTTAAGAATTAACTGTTAGAATAGTAACATGTTGAAAGTTAGGCATTTAAAAAGTCATTAGTTAGGCATATAACATATACTGATGAAAACAAATAAGGCAACACATGAAAGTACAAGGTTTTTGGTATGCTTTGTGTGTGAAAATCTAGGAACAAATAACCAAAAATTGGTACTTTCATGTGTTACATTTTTGTGTTTACTGACATTAACAGTGCATACTAGCATGTTAAGAGGCATATATTCTGTCAATAGTTTGGAATAATGCAGAATCTTTTACAGCACTCCAATAAATCAATAAGATCAAAAATATATTTAAGGTTCAAGCTAAATCATTAAATGTGTTCACAGTTAAAATGGATCTTTGATGTTTATATTTACAGTACTTAAATCACAGTATCTCCTAATAGTAGTATGTTTCTCCTGCTTTTTGTTTTCTTCATTTGTTTCACGTGATAGACAACTTTCTACATTTACAAGTCTATGGTATTTGTTCATCCAACAATGTACTACATCTACTGTAAACCCACACACAACCTCTGTTTCTACTAAAGTCCTAGCAAAGCAGGATTAGACATTTAAACTAGTTGGCATCCAGGGTGTTTTGAGGTGTACTTCTAAAGTATTTAAATCTACCAACCCCTACATATATAGAGGATACTAAACGACCTTCCGTGTAATACCAGTTTTATTAAACGAGTTAATGATTTGGTATCAAACGAGCGAAAGCGAGTTTAGTATTCTGTTTATTACTCTCCAACATAAACTGATAGAAACTGCCTACTAACAGTGTGATGGCTTCAGCTTTCCGCGAGTCAAGCAAGGTCTAATACCATTGTGACAGAGGTATTAGCATTGTGACGTCATATCTGTAAATCATTATGATGTCATACGTCTAGCGGAATTACACTAGTGTAATATTGCCGTAAAACTATTACACTGCAGTATCTTCCACGGAGAGTAATGATTACTTTTAACATTAGGGTAATGTTAAGGTTTAACTTGAACTTCGAACCTACCATTTGTTTCACGTGATGGACAACTTTCTACGTTTACAAGTCTACGGTACACGGTACTTGTTCATCCAAGAATTTACTACATCTACTGTAAACCCAAATACAATCTGTTCTAGTAACATCCTAGTACAGCAAGATTAATTATTTGAACTAGCTGTGATCCTGGGTGTTTTGAAGAGTACTTCTACAGTATCTAAATCTAGCAACCCCTACATATTTACTTTTAACATCAGGGTAATGTTAAGGTTTAACTTCGAGGTTTTAACCCTCCATTTGTCTCACGCGACGGAGGTTGTACCAATTTACTCCATATGCCATAACCCAAATACAGCCTCGGTTTCTAGTAACAGCCTTAGCAGAACAAACAAACAAACAAAACTACAATGACATCGCATTCCAAACATACCAGGCACTGGTTAAAAAAGCTAAAAAAAATAAAATGCAGTGATTAACAGCAGAAGTGCACCATAAACTAAATAGTTCAACTCAAACCCCATGCTTGAACAAACTCAAGAAAATTTACAAACGTTGTCATGGTTACCTAACATAAAGAATATTGATCCACCTGTATCGAGATATGTATCTGCAATAGAAGATGAGAAATGGCAAATAATGAATGAGTGATGAAATTAATCAATCAATCCTTAAATGTGAGAAGAGAACACAATACAGATAGATTACGCTCACCTGGACTAGATTACGCTCACCTGGAATATTATCCAATGAGGGAATATTGTTTTCTGCTACTAATATCAGCAATATTCCAGCCAAGTCATGGTAGAAAAAAACAAACAGATCTTAGGTATGGTGGGTGAATACCTTAGCAACCTGGCTTCACCACAGAAACAAAATCCAAGATAAATAGAGGTTATGAGTGAGTGAGTGAGTGAAATAATGTTTTATGCCACTGTCAACATGAAAATAATCAAGGTGAACATGTTTCTGGACAAGGCAAATCAGCACAGAAAAACATTCCATGTAGGACAAACTATCAACCAAGCCACAGAACGGGAAGTGGGGACCTGGGTCCCGATTCACAAAACATTTGTAGCTCTACGACATCTGTATGCCTATGATAAACTGTAGAGTTATGACAAGTCATAACGTTAGGAACATTTTGTGGATCGAGAGATCTTATGACAAGTCCCATAAACACAGCCCTAGGATATGTTATGAACACTTTGTGGATCGGGACCCAGATCTTAGCACTTCAATGATCGTAACTCCCATACTGTTACACAGCCCTAGGATGGTCGTAGTGTTATGAACACTTTGTGGATCAGTGATCTAACAATGATCGTAACTCCCATAACACAGCCCTGGGATGGTCGTAGTGTTAAGAACACTTAGTGCAAGTAGACCTTGAACTCAGTGTCACAAAGTGACCCAGGGCTGAAATCATAAGTCTATGTTCAAGTCTGGGAGTTCCAAATGCCCTTGCTGAATCACTTTGCAGAACGGGTCCCTCTTCTGCCCAAGCCAGGGTGACGGAGTCAGGGGAAAACAATGACACACAATGCAATTTGGAAAAGGTGCAAAGCATATATTATACACAATATCTAACATAAATTACTGATTAAAACAGCAATATACTCATATCAATTTTTTTTTATAAATAAATATTCCATGACATATAAAAACTATTATTCATAATTGGCTTGAGAGAAACTTAGTTCGCTGAGACAACTGAGACAACACAGTTAAGAGTGCACAACAAAGGCAAGGACAAAAACTGTGGAAACTGACACAAACCCAATTCCGTGACATATTGAACCACCACTCAAACAGGCATCAAAGCTTTCATGCGGGTAACCATGGTAACCACAATTAACACAACATACCGACAACATTAGTGAGTACTTCTTAACATGCACAGTTCAAGGTATTTGGTGTGGATTATTCATTACCATGAGCCATGTTTGTTGAAGAAGTTCTTGGCTGTTTCACAAAGCAATCATAGTAATACACGTGAGTGGTCATGAGTCCGTCCCAAAAGTTACCAAAGTTTTCCTATTGGCCCATACATGATCAAGTCTGGACCAGGCAAACCGGTGGTGGAAAACAGGAACACAATCCATGCAATCTGTCTGTGAGTTGCTTTTCTGTCGTTTTCAACAATATCATTGGAAGTGGGCTTTAAAGGCTCTACCCATCAAAGAACCTAGGCTTTTAGTGGACAAGCCAACGCATCTTCCACTAGGCTACAGCATCATGACCATGCAATCAGGGAACAATTACATATTGACTGGGCCACATGTGATGTGATGAGATGAGTGAGTGAGTTTGGTTTTACACCGCTTTTAGCAATATTCCAGCAATATCACAGCAGGGAACACAAGAAATGGGCTTTACACATTGTACCATGTGGTGAATCAAACCCGGGTCTTCGGCTTGGCAAGCAAACGCTTTAACCACTAGGCTACCCCACTGCCCCTTCATATGTGATGACCAGCGGCACTTGTGACAAGCAATTGGAACAGGTGAACTACTTTTTACAGTCGTACGACAGTCATCGCTTTTACAACTGCCATGTGAAACACAGCCCTTAAAATGTTATCCAGGCATGTCGAGACACAAGTAACTTTTCAAAAAGGGTACACCCATTTCCAGTGACCAGAACCAGAGACATACATTTCAAAATCATCAAACCTTACCCTAACAAGCACAATACTCAGATCGAAACTTAAACATGGTATCTCCAAACTCTACTGCAAGGAAAATAATAACAGTCAGAGAAGACAGCAATACTACATAGGCGTGTAGACAGTGTGTAGATGGCATGTAGATGGGGCATGTAGATGGGTATAGATGGGACATAGATGACATGTAGATGGGGCATAGATGGCATGTAGATGGTAGGTGGAGAGTGTGAAGATGGGTGTGTCGATCTGGCATAGACAGCATGTAGACGGCATGTAGATGGGCATAGACGGCATGTAGATTGAGCATACATGGCATGTAGATGGGGCATGGACAGCATGTAGATGGGGCATAGATGGCATGTAGATGGGGCATAGATGGCATGTAGATGGGGCATAGATGGCATGTAGATGGTGGGTGGATAGTGTAAAGATGGGTGTGTAGATGGGGCATAGATGGCATGTAGATGGTGTGAATATGGAGCATAGATGGCATGTAGATGGTGGGTAGAAAGTATGAAAATGGGGGTGTAGATCTTGCATAGACAGGGTGTAGATGGAATGTAGAAGGAGCATGAATGGCATGTAGATGGTGCATGGATGTTTTGCTAAGACCGCAAATATATGGTGTGTTAAAGGGGAGTAGATGGGGTGTAGATGGTGGGTTGACAGTGTGTAAAACGGGTGTAGGTGTCATGTAGTCTGCACCACAGTAACGTGCAGTGATGTAACAACAAAAGTAATAAAGTAACATATGTTATATTGGGGATTACACTTTCTTAGTAAAGTACAGATTCTAGTACTTTTGTTAGGTTGAGTCCCATCCGGGATTCGAACCCACACCCTCAGAGTCAGGCACCTAATCGCCAGCACACAAAGTCAGTCGCCTAACCCGCTCAGCCACTGCGACTTCCTGGCTGAGGGTGTGGGTTCGAATCCCGGATGGGACTCAACCTAACAAAACTACTAGAATCTGTACTTTACTAATAAAGTGTAATCCCAAATATAACATATGTTACATTTGATCACTTTCTAAATGGCATTGTGTAATCAAAAGTAATAAATGCAATACTTCCACAAACAATTTACACTGGCCAACCATTTTATATGTGCGGATACTAAGCAAAAAGAAACAAAGCATACTCGTCCCACAAGAGAACTTACAGCTGTTCTAAGGAACAATGAAACAACGGTTATTTGGGGTGGGTGTTTTCAATTTCAATAATATGAACTGTATCAAAAACATATATCAGATGTGTACAATAACAAATGGAGTTAGGGCCACTTCAAACAATATTTCAGTTGTATCATGGCTAGTCATGGTGTATACAGGGCATGTTGGAGAGGTTTAGCACATCGGCACCAATCATATATTTGGATCAGAACTTGGGATACAAACCCACAGCAGTGGATCCTAGTCGGCACTGTACAGTGGATGGCAATGCCTCAACCCACTTGGCTACACGTGTCTCTACAGGGTTCTTGTATAGCTTTGTATTTTAATGACTTCATTTACTGTTAATTTCCAACCCCTAAATCTTATAACATTACAAGAACAACTGGTTTTGTCACAGTGCAACTTACCTTCTAATTATAGGAGCAAACATGAGTTTGGTGTCAAACCCAAACACGGCAAACGATAAGAATCCCTGAAATAAACATACAAAATATACAGGTCAGTTACAGGGAAGTTAATGGTCAGAATACTGGGAATGAGTAAGTGGTTAGGTGTTACTCTGCTTTTAGCAATATTCCAGCAATATCACGTCGGGGACACCTGAATTGGGCTTCACACATTTTGATAGGTGGGGAATCAAACCCGGGTCTTCGGTGTGATGAGCAAACTCCGTAACCTCTGGGCTACCCACCCGCCCCAAATATTGGGAAGTTAAAGGTCAATTACTGGGAAGTGTAATAGTTCTTGTAGACTGATAAAAATAGCAAATGACAAAGCAAATGCTTTAAAATGAAATCTATCATCCATACCTGTTACATGTGTTTACGTGAAACAAGTGTTCGTTATTTTTTGCTATTGCATCTTCAGATCATACACATTGAAATGAAACAAAACATAAAAGTTATAATAATGTAGAATCTCAATGTACAGCTCATAGTTGGAGACGCCATCCAAAACTCAACTCTCCTTACCTGCCCATAATTGAAAACACCGTCCAGAAACTCAATCTCGATGTAGATTCCGGTAGGATGACTGTTGAACAATCGCCACACACACAAAAATAAACCCTAAAAAAATATATTAAAAAATTGTGACATTAATGTTAGGATCAACTTCTGAATTGCATCTTTGATTCCAAATATAATACTCAAAACAAGTTATAGAAGACTAGATTCTATTATATACATTACTTTAGTCTGTCTGTTACGACAAAACAGATTTTGTTCACTATAGGTACCCCATCATGCCATCATCTTATATGTATCTGTATGTATACTGATGAGTTACTGTAAGTGAGTGAGTTGGGTTTATCACTGTTTTAGTGAGTGAGTTTAGTTTTATGACACACTCAGCAATATTCCAGCTACATGGCAGCGGCCTGTAAATAATTGATTCTGGAACAGACAATCCAGTGATCAACAGCATGAGCATTGATCTAAGTGATTGGGATACAATGACATGTGCCATTAGTCGCCTCTTACGACAAGCAGGGGTTGTTGAAGATCAATTCTAACCCGGATCTTCAGGGATCTCTGTTTTAACATTATTCTAGTTGTGTCACCGACTGACAGGTTAATGTGTTCGGAAAGCCCAAAGCAATGTAGGTCTCGGATGTTCTGCAAGTGATTCTTTCAAACCTTGAAACATATTTGGGGCAAACCAGAATCCACAATTATACGTTTCTGGCATGCCAAAGGGACATAACTCTCCATGGCACATCTTGGTGCATGACACAGCTGGCCCACCTATTGTTAGGAGTGAGTGGGATTAGTTTCACGCCGCTTTCAGCAATATTCCAGCAATATCATGGCAGGGGACACCAGAAATGGGCTTCATATGTTGAACCCATGTGGGGAATCGAACCGGGTCTTCGACATGACAAGCGAACACTTTAACCAGTAGGCTACCCCATCATTCCCTATTGTTATTATGTTATTGACCAAGACTGTGGTTGACCGGGTACAAACTACTCACAATGAACATGGACAATATCAACAGCAGCAGCAACACAAGATGGTGTCCAGTCTGGTATTCCTCTTGCAACGCGGAGTATGTTGGCTGATGCGTCTCTGCCTGTGGGTCATGAGCATGAACATTGACGCTCTTCATGTAGGTTCGCAGTCGACCGATACACTGTCGCTTCTGGCTTGTACTGCACCGTCCGGTCAGACATGTACGCTCATCTATGCTGGAGAACAGCGTGGTATCGGAACCTTCTGATTGGTCGGATGAGACGCTGCTGGTATCTTCTCTTTTAGCGGCACTGGGGAATGGAATAATGTCCTCTATGCCTGGCACTGTAAATACATGAGTGAGTGAGTGAGTGAGAGGCTGGGTGAGTGAAAGGCTGGATGAGTGATTGAGAGCGAGTGGGTCTGGGTGAGTAAGAGTGTGAGTGTGTGTGTGATTGAGAGTGAGTGACTGAGTGAGAGTGAGTGGGTCTGGGTGAGTAAGATGAGGTGAGGTGAAATTGGGTTTAACGTCGTGCTTGAGAATATTGCGCTCATATGACAACGTGCATGCGTGTGTATGTGTATGTGCGGCTGCTTGTACTAGCCCAGACTGAAACTGGTTTTATAGTGCTAGCCCACTGAGATACCATGCCGCAGTGAAGCATGAATACCCCACTCAGACACATTATACTGACTCCGAGCCGACCAGTCCTTGTTGTACCCATTAATGCCGAGCGCCAGGCAGGGACCAACAAGTACCATATTTTAACGTCTTTTGGTATGACGCGGTCGGGGATCGAAACAGCGACCTTCCGCTCTCCGTGGCGGACGCTCTAACCATTACACCACGGAGGCGGTCTCATTTGCTTGATAACGGTGTTAGCAGCTACAACGAAACGTCGCTCATATTATATTAAAGAAGTTGTATATATATCCATAGAACTCTCCTCGTTGAACATGTAATTGCAAAGAAAACCCATCATAAGTTAACTATTCTGCGTGAACTACTGACAATGACATATTTCTGCTGATCAGTGAGCTTGTCATGTTTCAAATTCTTTGTCCAAGTGTCACAACAAGCCATGTCCTCAATCCATTATCTACATAGTTGGCCAGCTGGATACTAAACACGGTTAACATTGTGACATTAGATGTCACATTTAGCTAGGACATTACACATTTTGTTTCAGGTAGTTACAAGCTGTTGAATAAGCTGTTGTATAAGCTGTTGTATAAGCTGTTGTGGATGTTTATCACACACTGCACATAGTTCTCTTGTTTATGACAAACAAACTATTTTTTATTAAGTCCCTGGAATGAATCAGAGGTGAATGTATGTGGGTATTTTCTTTTTAAAAGTACCACATTTTAACGTCTTTGGTGGGTGACGCGGGTCAGGTGAGATTGAACCCGCAACCTTGTGCTCTGTGTGGGTGTCTGTGACGCTTAGAACCACTACACCACGGAGGCGGGTGAGTAAGAGGTGGGTGTGTGTGTGAGAGTGATTGAGGTGAGTGATTGAGAGTGGGGTGTAGGTGAGTTTGTGAGTGATTGACAGTGAGGTCTGGGTGTGTGGTGTGTGTGAGTGATTGAGAGTGAGTGGGTCTGGGTGAGTGAGTCTGGTGTGTGTGAGTGATTGACAGTGAGTGTCTGGGTGAGTAAGAGTGTTGGTGTGTGTGTGAGTGATTGAGAGTGAGTGGGTCTGGGTGAGTAAGAGTGTGGGTGTGTGTGTGAGTGATTGAGAGTGGTGAGTGGGTCTGGGTGAGTGATTGAGAGAGTGGGTCTGGGTGTGGTGTGTGTGTGAGTGATTGAGAGTGAGTGGGTCTGGGTGAGTAAGAGTGTTGGTGTGTGTGAGTGATTGAGAGTGAGTGGGTCTGGGTGAGTAAGAGTGTTGGTGTGTGTGAGTGATTGAGAGTGAGTGGGTCTGGGTGAGTAAGAGTGTGGGTGTGGTGTGTGTGGGTGTGTGTGTGATTGAGAGTGAGTGGGTCTGGGTGAGTAAGAGTGTTGGTGTGTGTGAGTGATTGAGAGTGAGTGGAGTCTGGGTGAGTAAGAGTGGTGTGTGTGAGTGATTGAGAGTGAGTGGGTCTGGGTGAGTAAGAGTGTTGGTGTGTGTGAGTGATTGAGAGTGAGTGGGTCTGGGTGAGTAAGAGTGTTGGTGTGTGTGAGTGATTGACAGTGAGTGGGTCTGGGTGAGTAAGAGTGTTGGTGTGTGTGAGTGATTGACAGTGAGTGGGTCTGGGTGAGTAAGAGCTTGGGTGAGTAAGAGCGTGGGTGAGTGAATGTGTGTGAATGAGTGAGTGTGTGAGTGTAAGTGTGGGGAACACCAGAAATGGGCTTCACACATCGTACCCATTTGGGGAACTAAACATGGTCTACTCAAATATGATGATGGCATGCTGTATGTTAGTATGTTCATTGTAAACAAGCAAAAAATATATTATTCTTAAGTTAAGAAACTACATATTTCAAATGACCTTGAAGTTTGACAGAATGCTGAAAGAGACTGTTCTTGTACTGCATTTCTTAAAACTATCAACTTCTCAGATTGAAAACCCACAGTTACTATGGTAACCATTACCTCTGGAAACTCCACTACAAGAGTCATACTGAGTTGGTGTGGAGTTGTTGTCGTCACTGAGTTTGGGAGTACTCTTGACAGAACTTCTCTCTGTCTGCTGGACACCGTTTCCGGTTGCGGGTGTTCTCTCTGATTTCACCCTGCTCTCCACCACATACAATCGGTCATTTCTCTGACGGATGACCAATGCAAAGATTGAAATACCAAGGCCAAGAACCAAGACTAGAATTGACACCATAGACTGCAAGGAAAGAAATACTAAATGAATTTAAAGCCATGAATGTTTTTTAAATCAATTAAAACAATATTGAACATGTTATCAAATTTCAGTTGATTCTAATTCAGAGCTGAAACATTTATCCTGCAAAAATTCTGTACCATGCTCATTGTCACAGATACCTTGGTAAGCCTGGGCAAATTTAAGCAAGCGAGTGAAACGGCACAAAGCACCACTTTGAAATAGATTGGAGTCAAAAGACTGGGAAGCTCAAAACAATACATGGCATACATATTTATCACTTTCATCATAGACTCAGTGCAGACAAAGTTTCAAGAGTGAATGTTTTAAGGGTACTGCTTCCTATCAAACTATGGCTCATTTGAACCTATGTCCAATCTGTTGCCTTGGAAACACAAAAAATAAACACAAAGAACTTACTTTACCGATTTATCAATTACCTTAAGCAGAGAAACATACATGGCGAAAATCATTATTCTAATTGACTCGAGCAATTCTAAATTGACAAAGGCTTTGAACAGCATTTAGAGTGAGTGAGTGAGTGAGTTGGGTTTTACTCCACTTTTAGTAGTATTCCAGCAATATCACAGCAGGGGACACCATAAATGGGCTTCACACATTTCACACAAGCGGGGAATCGACCTGTGTCTTTGGCGTGACGAGTGAACGCTTTAACCACTAGGCTACCTCACCACCATTACGTAGATGGTATCTTGAAAGAATATATAAGTTCATTTCTCACCCACATTTAACTGATTTCAACTCCTGCTAAGTTTCATATTTTATAAGATTTTCTAAACTGCAGGTACACAAAACTTCAGGGCAAAGACTTCAACTAGCAGCACTCTCTAGAGAAATAAAGCTTGAGTGGACAGGCGATGCAGTCTGGTATATCACTCACTCCTGCTGCCCATCATAAAGAACAGATCTCACACTCGAATTCCGGCACCAGCAAGTCAACCTGAATCTTCTACACATTGTACCACTACCCCAGTGAAAATGAAACTTCTTCAAGTACCCCGTTATCATAAGTGGATGAAATTAATAGTGAAATTAAAGGGGCCATGATGTTAATACTAAAAATGAAAGATTTAAGTGGGCCTAGATTCAAACACTTTAGGAGCTTGCAGTGTTGCATCCAGGAATTTGGGATTAAAGGGGACATTGACTGTTACAAAAGAGGGGGACCTGACGACAATCAGGGGGTATCACATATTGACTGAAGATAGGTATTTACTGCAATGCTGATGTCTTCACAACAATGATACAGGTCAAGAAACCGCTTTTGGTATTTGTTATGAAAAGAGTGAGAATAATGAAACTGGTTTGGTTTAACAAACAAAGATGTTATCAACACGATTCGCGGTCTTGTTTATATATTTACCAAAAACGCTTTGATTTGCGTTATGTAAATGCGTCCACGAGACCCACACATGTTACACACATGCAAGTATATTATAGGCACGTGATCATTTATATTGCGTGACAGGTCGCACATCAATTTTCATTTTTTGCGGGAGATGTACGTTAATAGGGGTTCCCACAATTGCGCAGCCTTGATGCAACACTGAGCTTACCCTGAACGAACCCCTATGCTGATAACCGATCCCACTTGCCCTCACCAAGTGCCTGTTGTGACATGTATAGGTTGCTAGGAAATGAGTCTATCCCAAAGATTCAAAATGTACAAGTAAATACAGTACCTGTAGCAATAGTACAAGCAAGATTATTCCTTTGACAGGGTCTGTTTAGCTTTAGCATCAAGGAAAGAACAAAACTGATAACAGCAAAGCTTATTTAAGAAGCATATTTGGATGTTTCTGAAAGTACTGTCACATATTTCATTTCAATTATTGTCAAAGTAACAACATATTTCATAATACAAAACATACCTTGAACGTATAACTGGCTCTTAATTTAATGACATACTCTATACAAAGAGTACAAGTAAAAAAGATGAACACAAAATTACAATGAGAAGAGTCATTAACTGATCTAACTTCAGCTTCAATTATATTTTACATTCTCATTCATCCAAACATGCTTAACATTTATAAGGAAAATATTACTAGCATTCAATGCAGAAACAAGCTCAGAAGTTTCAAGCTGATAATTTCATGTTGTTCATCAGCACAAAAATGTTTGACTACAGAAGTGTATGGTTATTTCTTATTTTCTATTGCTGAATTCAACAACATTCCAATTCTATGATGCAGCATGTAACTAATCAAACCTGGACAAGATAATCCAATGATTGATTTAACGCCACGCTCAGCAATATTCCAGCTATATGGCGGCGGTCTGTAAATAATCGAGTCTGGACCAGACAATCCACTGATCAACAGCATGAGCATCGATCTACGCAATTGGGAACCGATGACGTGTCAACCAAGTCAGTGAGCCTGACCACCTGATCCCGCTAGTCGCCTCTTATGACAAGCATAGTCACCTTTTGTGGCAAGCTTGGGTTGCTGAAGACCTATTCTACCCCGGATTTGATACTGTGAAAAACAATCCAAGCCTTTGGGCTAAGTTGACTGTTGACACAGTGTGTATGACCATCACAGGCCGTTTCACAAAGCGATTGCAATATGGTAATGGTTACATAACAACTACAACAGATTTAATTTCATGAGCCAATCATTCATGCTGTTCATATTCATGCCATGCATGGAATTAACAATCAACTTGAAACTTTAAAAACAAAACTTGAAATCTTTTATCGAAAATATTATTGGAAACTATTACATTTTAACTATGAATCTTTTCAACGTATCTCACATAATCATGATCATTACAATATACAAGGAGACAATGATATTTTTCCAAACATGCTTAAAGTACCATTAACAGTGCAAGATCCCGATGTTGATTTTTGGGTCCCAATATCATCTGAAAAACAGGAACCACATCCGAAGGGAGAGGTTAAGTAAGAGAGTGAGAAAGGGTGTGATAAACCGTGATAACAAACAACTGAACATGCATAACGCATATTGACTGTCTGTGAGTGAGTGAGTTGGGTTTTACACCACTCTTAGCAATGTTCCAGCTACATTATGGAAATGGGCTTTACACATTTTACCCATGTGGGAAATCGAACCTGGGTCTTCGGCGTGATGAGCGAAAGCTTTAACCACTAAGCAACACCACGCTCCTGCTCAGCCGAGGGATTAGTTTGGACATTTAAAGAAGAGCTTAAGATTTATCTGCTCTTCAAATAGGGCTTTCATTTCAATTGATTTTGAAAATAATGACAACCAACTTTTTACATTTTTCAGCACTAAATATTCAACATAATTGATATTTGAATTTGAATACTGACTGCTTGGTCCACCCGAAAACCATCATACATATTCAGTTATTTGTAATGTGTTAAAAAAACACTAATACAGTAAACAATCATTAAAAGCATAAATAAACGAAACTGGTAATGCTGCATGCAATAACTATGTGGTGATGTTTGAATAATCTACAAAATTTATTCTGGTTAATGGATGCCTACGGACACAACAAAATCAAGTGAAGATTAATTCTTTACTAAAGTTTCAGAAAGATGATGTCATCTACAATACAAATCAAAAGAGAACCTAGAATGAGGCCAATTCAAGGTTTGATTTTAGGAACTGTGATTAATATTGCACCAGTTGATATGAAAACCTACTTGCACCAAACAAAACCAGGATGCACTCGGGTCCTCAAAATTTTGCATAGGTAAACATGCACATTATCTTGAAGTTCTTGAGGATTTAAAAAACTACATACAAACAAGGTATTGGGTTTGTATGGTAAAAATGCTCAAAGGCATTAAATGATTTCAAAAATCAATTATGTGAGTGTAGACTTGAAGGGTAAGACACAAGTTTGATTATTTTTCACATGCACTTGTAGAATGTAAATATCAGGTTACATGTTTTCAGTGAGTGAGTGAAAGAATTTCAGTTTTACGCCGCTTTTAGCAATATTCCTGCAATATCACGACGTGGGACACCAGAAATGGGCTACACACATTGTGTCCATGTGGGGACGCATTTTTCAATATCCGCTGCACTGGTGCATGTTATACATAGCTAAATCAAACCCTGTTATTTCAGCCAGCAGTCCATTTTCTTGGACACCCTACCACTTCCCACCTCCTCTCCCTCAAAATAGAAGGCAGGAAGCCTATACAGGAAGACTTTGTTGTGACATGTTAGGGCAGAAGCTAGAAAACTCTCATCTATTCTCATGGCAAAAAACAAAAATTAAAATGTCAGGGATAGAAATTAGCACAGGCCCGCTAGCCAAGACCTGCTTCATTAATGCCCTGGGCCCACTTGCACAGAGCAATCTTAGTTACAATCAATCTTAGGGCCTTACAATCAACTTTACAATCACCATACAATTGCCCTAATCCACTTGCACAAAGCCGATCTTAGAGCGATTGTAAGACGGCGTGTATTTAAGATCGCGATCTTAGTTAAGATCGAACTCTTCAACGGTGGTGGTACGAATTTCTTAAACTCGACTCCCGTCTACAGTTGTCTCAAAGTGCGCATAGCATGCTGCGCAAATAAAAAGTGATACTGGTCCCAGCACACAATACATACCTCCCTCAATCGCACCTTGCAGAATTTTCATGAAAAAGTCCCAGAAATCTTAGAAGGAACCGACACGTGGGACGATAGCATATATTTTTCTACATTCTAACTGTCTTGATTTATGAACTGAGAATGTGATATTGCAACCACAGAAATACCTACCCATGTTTTTATGAAAATACTGAAATACTGAAAAATACATGAATAAATTTGGATCTAGATTTAGTGACTTAATTATGGAACTTAAAATAACAAATATAAACAGTATTTCCTTATGATATAACACCTAAATGTATGATTTGCCAATGGTTGTCAATGAGGCGTTGTTTAATCACGCAGCTGTTGGGGAGGGGGGAGGGTAAAATCCTAAATATAACCTAGAATAAAATACAATAAAACAATGGCTACAGAAGTGTTGTAAAGAATGCTTGGCAGGGAAATACGTGCATTAAATAATATTTCAAGAGAGTAGTTATTGAATACGTATTCACAGTATATTAATTATTTAACCCTATTATGTTGATTAATATTTTTCTTAAAGTGAAATTCTTTTGAAACAGAAATTTTTAATACCCCATCATGTGTATATCCCTATTTGATGACTACTTGTATATATTTAAATTGCATAATCAAATTTAGATTTATGGATGAGAAAGAAACTTGATTTTGCACGTTAACTTGTATCTAATTGTAGATTACTTTAATGATAAACTAAGACAAAATCACTCCATGACCGAAAAGAGATATCAGTATGTTGACTGTACGGCAACGGCATATGCCAAGGGAAACCACTCCCATCTTGCCCATAAACTAAAATTATCTGCTCTTGAGTTAATGAAAAGGTCACGGCCATTGTTAATCGCACGCAGACACCATTCGCTATTATCCTTTCCTTGATTATCAAGAAGGTATGTTGTTTCACACTTATTCCAACATTGAATCGGGTGGGAATAGTACTATGTGATGTCGACTCGATAGTTATGTGTTTCACTACAGTAAATAAAAATGTACCCGACGTTAAATCAGTTGTGCATTCTCCGTGTTGTTGAAATGTCGAGGCGAACCACACAGTTTCATGCAATATAAATGCAATCTCCAAACGTAAAGCTGATTATTTGCGTGAAACAGACACTAATTTGAATGCCATTTCTAAAATGATCTTAGCTCCTTACAATTGGTCCGGACCAATTGTAAGTTTCGATTGTAACTTACAATAATCTTAGCCTACAATTGCTTTGTGCAAGTAGATGGCGATTGTAACCGATGCCTAAGATCGCGATCTTAAGGATTTACAATAATTGTAGCGCTAAGATCGTTCTGTGCAAATGGGCCCAGGTATATGAAGGGATGGTTAAACTTTAAACATTTTGTCTGGAATATTGCCATGTTAGCACTATTCCAGCTAGGACCAGGAGAGTTTCTTGGTTAATTTCTATCCCTTTATGTTCAGTTAGATAAGCAAGTAAACACCATGGAAATACATATTTAGTGACAATTTTGATTTAAATCACTTTTGCCAACTCACAATAAATTACAGCAAAGTTAATAAAACAATAACTCAACCTTTCAGCTTGAAAGTATGGTTTTACATCGCTTTTAAAAAGCAATATTCCAGCAAAATTACGCTGGCTAAATCTTAGATGCATCTTCACAATAAATACATATAACTTTTCATTTTAAATTCACTTTTAAAATTTCCACGGTCTTAAGCAATTAATTACTAACTCTCAATTAATGACACTATGCATTATTTCTACAGCTATAAAGACAAATAAAGGATAAGGTAAAAGTGTAAAAGAGAGAGAGTGAGAGAATATACAGGTGAGGTTTAGTTAATTACAGGTGAGACCTACCTGCACCTCCCCCATGTGAAAGGAAGGGTCTATCTCATGCACCATCTGGTCGTGGCCGAGCAGGAACAGACACCCCACAACCAAGAACGGTAATCTGAAACAACGTATAACACTCAACGTTAAATAGGGTACTGATAGCATCTTAAATAGCTGCCTGTCTGTTACTTAGTGGCCAGTAGTTTCCTAAGTGGAAGCGCTTTGAGCATATCCCTGTGACGTGGAAAGGCGCTATATAAATGGCCTATTATTATTATTATTATCATAGGATTGGGGATGTGGGCAGGGAGTTAAGTAAAATTTCAAATTCCTTATCCCATCTGTTCGAACATGCAATTCAAAATCAAGATTGTAAAGAATCTCACTGATTGCTATATTTTGGTTTTCACATGTACATTTATCTGCTTCCTAGTGTTCCATTCACCTGACCGTAAGAGGCAACTAACAGGATCGGGTGGTCAGACTCGCTGACTTGGTTGACACATGTCAGTGGCGGATCCAGAAGGGGGGTTCAGGGGATTCGAAACCCCCCCTTTTGAAAATAACTAAAGACCACATTGAAGTTAATGTTTTGCAATGGCAGAGCCAAGGTGGGGTTCAGGAGGTTCGAACCCCCTGAACTCCCCCTTCGGAAATTTCTGGATCCACCTATGCATGTTATTGTATCCCAATTGCGCAGATCGATGTTCATGCTGTTGATCACTGGATTGTCTGGTCCAGACTCGATTATTTACAGACCGCTGCCATATAGCTGGAATATTGCTGAGTGCGGCGTAACACTAAACTCTGTCACTCACTCATTCATCTGATGGATTAAGAACATACTCTGAAAAGTCAGGTTCCTAATGTTACAGAAATTGACATCAATACATTTACTGCTTCAGTTCTTTAACGGCTTTGTGATGGCTCCAGATAATTTTTCAACATCAGGAGTACGTACTCCTTATTTTTTCAATATAGGAGTACTGGAAAATCTTAAGAGTACATTTGGAGTACTGAATGGAATTTAATGGCTTATCAGTAATCTTGTGTTTTGTTTCATATACGCACCACAACATTGCTAGTCTTGTGTAAACTGGTCAATATACAATAAAACAATACTTTTCTTAGATAAATACGTCTGTAAATGATTCTAAGACCGTACACCATTGCCGTGGTTTCGTATCTGTATCTCTGTTTTCTAAATTATTTCCTACCGTATCATGCATTTTTTTATCCGTACATACGCCGATAAGGCCCTTATCTGGAGCCCTGTTATTCACTATTACTTGGTTTAGCTTACTTTGTTGTACAAAATAGAAGAATTGCAATTTTCAGGTGCATATTCCTGAAATGAGGATCAGTATTCTTTGGTAAGTGGTAGTGAAATGTAACAAGACCATGGCTTTGGTTTGGACTTATGTTTTTTTACTGGATACTGGTTAACTAAATGAACTCATAGGTCTTGATGATGTCGATACAGGTGTTCTGAAACAACAGTCGCATATGGCACTAAACTCTAGCTTAGAATAATGTATTCTGAAAAACAGATGTAGAACTCAACTCTAGAAAGGCATACAAAATATTCGGGAACAACTTGGCCACAAATGGTACTGAACTCCAGATAGGGGGGGCGGTGGGGTAGCCTAGTGGTTAAAAACTAAACTCGTGGCGTAAAACTAAACTCACTCACTCACTCTTTAGATTGCATGCCCCTACATCCCTATCTGGACTGACTGACTGACTGACTGACTGAGTTTAGTTTTACCCGCTTTTAGCAATATTCCAGCAATATCACGGCGGGGGACACCAGAAATGGGCTTAACTGACTGAGTATGGTTTTACGCCGCTTTTAGCAATATTCCAGCAATATCACGGCGAGGGACACCAGAAATGGGCTTCACAAATTGTACCCATGTGGGGAATCGAACCCAGGCCTTTGGCGTGATGAGCGAACGCTCTAACCACTTGGCTGCCCCACCGCCCCCTTGTGCAAAAGAGGTTTGGAACCATTACAATACAAATGTAACGTTTAACATCTTCAATTAGCAAACATCACACCAATTCTGACTGGTGTGCATTTTGATATTGATATTTTGCAGGGCCAGTGAAGTATGATTTGGGCAAGCAACATTTTCACTAACTTGTCCCCCATGCCAGTGACTTTTATTAACTCGTACACTGTATGTTAGTAATACTTACCCAAATCCAAAGAGAAAGAGCCAGACTTGAATACGAAGCAGGAAGCAGAGTCCCCGTACATGGAGAAGACACAGCGCGACAGACACCACGGCAGTCCATGTGCGGGTGCTGAACACGCCCACCAGCAGCAGCGTGATCTGGAGATACTCCTGCCACGTGTGGACTGTGGTAGCGCTGCTGTACATCGACATCCCCACACACGACACCAGCTGTAACACATAGAGACATCATCAACACGACGACACCCGCTGTAACACAGAGACATCATCAACATCCCCACCCACAACACCAGCTGTAACACATAGAGACATCATCAACATCCCCACCCACAACACCAGCTGTAACACATATAGAGACATCATCAACATCAACACATAGAGACATCATCAACATCCCACACACACCAGCTGTAACACATAGAGACATCATCAACATCCCCACACACCACTGTAACACAGAGACATCATCAACATCCCCACACACTCCACACCAGCTGTAACACATAGAGACATCATCAACATCCCGACACCGACACCGCTGTAAACACACAGAGACATCATCAACATCCCCACACGACACCAGCTGTAACACATAGAGACATCATCAACCACGACACAACACACAAATCAAGAATACAGAGACATCAACATCCCCACACAACAACACCACTGTAACATAGAGACATCATCAACATCCCACACACACGACACCAGCTGTAACGGAGACATCATCAACATCAACACACACACCAGCTGTAACACATAGAGACATCATCAACATCCCCACACACACCCAGCTGTAACACAGAGACATCATCAACATCAGCACACACATCACACCAGCTGTAACACATAGAGACATCATCAACACAACGACAACCGCTGTAACACGACATCATCAACATCCCCACACATGACACCAGCTGTAACACACAGAGACATCAAACATCCCCACAGATCAACATCCCACACACACTACATCATCAACACCCCCAGCTGTAACACAGAGACATCATCAACATCCCCACACACTCCACACCAGCTGTAACACATAGAGACATCATCAACACCACACCAGCTGTAACACCAGAGACATGAACATCACCACAGAGACATCACACACCAGCTGTAACACAACATAGAGACATCATCAACATCAAACACAGAGACATCATCAACACTGACACCAGCTGTAACACAGAGACATCATCAACATCCCCACACATGACACCAGCTGTAACAACATCAACACAACGGCACCAGAGACATCATCAACACACTACACCAGCTGTAACACATAGAGACATCATCAACACTACGACACCCGCTGTAACACAGAGACATCATCAACATCCCCACACACGACACCAGCTGTAACACATAGAGACATCATCAACACAACGACACCCGCTGTAACACAGAGACATCATCAACATCCCCACACACGACACCAGCTGTAACACATAGAGACATCATCAACATCACCATCATCAACATCCCACACTCCACCCAGCTGTAACACATAGAGACATCATCAACACCATAACACACCCGCTGTAACACATAGAGACATCATCAACACAATGACACCAGCTGTAACACACAGAGACATCATCAACATCCCACACACGACACCAGCTGTAACACATAGAGACATCATCAACATCAACACACCAGGACAGCTGTAACACAGAGACATCATCAACATCCCCACACACGGCACCCAGCTGTAACACATAGAGACATCAACACATCACACCAGCTGTAACACAGAGACATCATCAACAACGCATCGACATGTAACATCAACATCATCAACATCAACACACACAACACCAGCTGTAACACATAGACACATCACCAACATGTGACACCAGCTGTAACACCATAGAGACATAGAGATCATCAACAACACCCATCACTGAGCAACATCAACATCAACACCCCACATGACGACACCAGCTGTAACACACAGAGACATCAACATCAACGACAACAGCTGTAGTGTAACACATAGAGACATCATCAACATCCCCACACATGACACCAGCTGTAACACATAGAGACATCATCAACATGCCCACACACCAGCTGTCACACATGCACACTACACCAGCTGAGAGACATCATCAAACAACGACACACAGCTGTAACACAGAGAGACATCAACACAACGACAAGAGCTGTAGTGTAACACATAGAGACATCATTAACATCCACAGACATGACACCAGCTGCAAAACATAGAGACATCATCAACACTACACCAGCAACACATAGAGACGACATCCGCACCCAACACAGAGACATCATCAACACGACACACTACCAGCTGTAACATAGAGACATCCATATCAACACAACGACAACAGCTGTAACACATACAGACATCAACACAATGACAACAGCTGTAGTGTAACACATAGAGACATCATCAACACAACGACACCCGCTGCAACACATAGAGACATCATTAACATCCACAGACATGACACCAGCTGTAACACAGAGAGACATCGGGAACATCTACATAAACAACACCCACTGCAACACACAGATATCAACATGCACACTACACCAGCTGTAACACAGAGACATCGGGAACATCTACATAAACAACACCCACTGCAACACACAGATATCACCATGCACACTACACCAGCTGTAACACAGAGAGACATCAGGAACATCTACATAATCAACACCCACTGCAACACACAGATATCAACATGCACACTACACCAGCTGTAACATAGAGACATCGGGAACATCTACATAATCAACACCCACTGCAACACACAGATATCACCATGCACACACCAGCACCAGCTGTAACATAGAGACATCGGGAACATCTACATAATCAACACCCACTGCAACACACAGATATCAACATGCACACTACACCAGCTGTAACATAGAGACATCGGGAACATCTACATAAACAACACCCACTGCAACACACAGATATCACCATGCACACTACACCAGCTGTAACACAGAGAGACATCAGGAACATCTACATAATCAACACCCACTGCAACACACAGATATCAACATGCACACTACACCAGCTGTAACATAGAGACATCGGGAACATCTACATAAACAACACCCACTGCAACACACAGATATCACCATGCACACTACACCAGCTGTAACACAGAGACATCGGGAACATCTACATAAACAACACCCACTGCAACACACAGATATCAACATGCACACTACACCAGCTGTAACACAGAGACATCGGGATACATCTACATAAACAACACCCACTGCAACACACAGATATCACCATGCACACTACACCAGCTGTAACACAGAGAGACATCGGAACATCTACATAAACAACACCCACTGCAACACACAGATATCAACATGCACACTACACCAGCTGTAACACAGAGACATCGGGATCATCTACATAAACAACACCCACTGCAACACACAGATATCACCATGCACACTACACCAGCTGTAACACAGAGACATCAGGAACATCTACATAAACAACACCCACTGCAACACACAGATATCAACATTCACACTACACCAGCTGTAACACAGAGACATCGGGAACATCTACATAATCAACACCCACTGCAACACACAGATATCACCATGCACACTACACCAGCTGTAACACAGAGAGACATCTTAAACATCTACATAAACAACACCCACTGCAACACACAGATATCAACATGCACACTACACCAGCTGTAACACAGAGAGACATCGGGAACATCTACATAAACAACACCCACTGCAACACACAGATATCACCATGCACACTACACCAGCTGTAACACAGAGACATTGGGAACATCTACATAATCAACACCCACTGCAACACACAGATATCAACATGCACACTACACCAGCTGTAACATAGAGACATCGGGAACATCTACATAATCAACACCCACTGCAACACACATATATCACCATGCACACTACACCAGCTGTAACATAGAGACATTCGGAAACATCTACATAATCAACACCCACTGCAACACACATATATCAACATGCACACTACACCAGCTGTAACACAGACTTCACCGACAAACACACACGACACAAAGACTTTAACTTCCACAGGTTGTCGTGATGTAACTTAAATATTGCAGAGTTAAGCATTAGACAACTACCAACCAAAATCTCATCATACAAACCACATGAAATATCCTCGTTATATAGTCTTAAAAGGCAACTAATTGGATTGGGTGGTCAGAGTGAGTGAGTTAGTTTTACGCCGCACTCAGCAATATTCCAGCTACATGGCAGCGGTCTGTAAATTATCGAGTCTGGACCAGACAATCCAGTGATCAACAGCATGAGCATCGATCTATGCAGTTGGGATTTGATGACATGTGCCAGCCAAGTCAGCGAGCCTGACCACCTGATCCTGTTAGTCGCCTCTTATGACAAGCATTGGTTACCGAACACCAATTCTAACTCGGATCTTCACGGGTCTATTAAACGTAGAGGTTTGGGTGGCAGACTCTCTGACTAGGTGGTGCATGTCATCATATACCCATAATGGTTTGTTGATGCCAATCATTGGATTATCTGTACCAGACCAGACAGATCACATAGCTAGAATATGGCTAAGTGGGCCGTTAAAAACAAACGAACAAGCATTATATATGCAGATTCACATCATATTGTACGGTTCCTGATGGGCATTCAAAAAGCTTATTATCTTGTGACCAAAATGACTAAAATTACCTGCTATCTTACTGAAACCTCAAAGCACCGTGGAAGGTCTACTGACGAAGAATGGAACATTTCATTCTCAATCAGTTCAGTGATGAACTGATTGAGAATGAAATGTTCCATTCTTCGTCAGTAGACCTTCCACGGTGATACCATCCAGTATCAAGTCAACCATTATGTTTAGATTACTGATGTATCCAACATCATCATCAAAATCAATTGTATTATTTTCACCAACCTGAGAAAAGACGAGACAGAGAGTGAATCTATGTGGACAACGTCGCCATTTGCCGCTGAGAATGAACACCCCCATCACCCACACCTGTGGAACAAGAAGAGTGAGTGAGTTACACATATGTCAACCAGCATTACAACTAAAAACTTGAGATGATTTTATTAAAGGCATAGTTTCCTGCTCCTAAACCATAAAGCCTCTAAATGTTAGGGGTGACTATTGAGGGGGAACAACAACTGTGATAGCGATGATCTATTGCAATAGTTTTTTTCTCCTTGAATTGTCTCATTTGAAGTCATTTCCCAAATGAATGTATAGTTTATATAAAATAAAAACTAGTTGAAGTAGTTTCAGTCTCTTTTACTAATTGACAAGAAACTTGAAACCCAGATAAAGTAAACAGTTTAAGCATAAACTTATTATTATTATTCACAATTTCAAACTCCGAGTCGCATGCCGTGTTTACCGCCATGTTTGTTTAAGAGGTAACCGGGGTGGATAACTCTAAATCAAAGTGAACGAATCTGGTACTTCCTGTATTTTGCGCTGCGCTTTTACCAACGGAAGTCAATTACTAAACTATCGATAGTCACACATACTATTGATGCATCCATAGTTTTTCGCTTCCATCGTCGCTTAATTTCTATCAGAGATTCAACAATTGCAATCCATCGATAGTTTGATGCATCGTTACAGCACTACTAACTGTTTTCGGTATTTCCCAGGAAGGAAGGATAACTATATATGGATAAACAACTTCTTTCTTACAGTGAGAGCTCCCATTGTAATAAGGTGAGGTGAGGTGAAGTTTGGTTTAACGTCGTGCTTGAGAATATTTCGCTCATATGACGACGTGCATGCGTGTGTATGTGCGTGTGCGGCTGCTTGTACTAGCCCAGACTTAAGCTGGTTTTATAGTGCTAGCCCACTGAGATACCATGCCGCAGTGAAGCATGAATACCCCACTCAGACACATTATACTGACTCCGAGCCGACCAGTCCTTGTTGTACCCATTAATGCCGAGTGCCAGGCAGGGACCAACAAGTAGCGTTTTAGCGTCTGTTGGTATGACGCGGTCGGGATCGAACCCGCGACCTTCTGCTCTCCAGGCGGACGCTCTAACCACTACACCACGGAGGCGGTCCCATTGTAATAAAGAAGTGATAAAAAATAAGTTGTTCATCCATATATTGTTATCCTCCTTCACTGCTCCCAAGGGACTGACTGACTGACTGAGTTTGGTTTTACGCCGCTTTTAGCAATATTCCAGCAACATCACGGCAGGGGACACCAGAAATGGGCTTCACACATTGTACCCAAGTGGGGATTCGGACCCGGGTCGTCGGCGTGGCTCTCAAGGGAGAATAACATAGTTTTTGTGAATATGGTTGTAACAATGATAATATGGCCATATTATTACGGAATCTAGCAAATAAGCTATAAAAAAATATTTCGAATTTAACAAAAAGACAAAACATAGCATGAATATTGCAGATGAGTATCAATCATCTCTCGTTTCTGGATTTTGGGAGTAGTCACTGGGTCTGAAAAATATTTGGCATGAATATTTCCATATGATGCTAAATAGACTTTCCCATGACAATTTCTTTCAGTATTTTTCAACATGTTTTCGGAAATTTCCCAGGAAGGAAGGATAATTATATATGGATAAACAACTTCTTTTTTACAGAGCAATGTAAAATACATTAAGTAATGACTAACATATATTTAGTATCCATATCACAATGGCAGTCTTTTTATCAATAAGCTGAGGATGTGCTTTTCATTTTAAGGCTAGACCAATATTATATCTTGTTTTACAGATTTTTGTCCTCAGAAAACCTAAAGGCAGGAGGGAAAAAAAATAAAATAAAATCACCGGTCAAAGTAATATTCCTTCTAAATACTAGAAGTATTTTACTTTTGGCAATTTATGAAGTGTATATGGGGCAAAATACAATTTAAAAAAACATTTTCTTGAAAGTTGACATTTTTGGCCAATAAAAAACATGAGGATTTTATTTTTTGAGCGGGGAAAAATAATTTTTATTTTTTTTCTTATTCTTGAAAAACTACGACCGGCAGATCCGTAAAACAAGAAATAAAATTGGTCTGGCCAATCTATAAACTTTGATCTAAATACTAATCTATGCCAAAATGTTCTGATCCGACAATGTCTTATTGTATCACTTTCAGTTCTAGGTTAAAACCTAAAGTGAATTTTCAAAGGCTACTAAATCCCACTGTGATAAAACCTAAAGTAAATTTCAAAAGCTCCTCCCTCAAGGATGAAATCCAAAGTAACTTTTGAAGACTGACTCACGCAGCAGACTATGCTGACGATGCTAGTGTCGAAGTTGGTGTCGAGGAGGAGGGCCTTGTAGTCCAACTCGTTGCTGACCACCACTGTCATCATCTTGGCCGACACAAACATGAGGGGTGCAGAGATGAACGTGCCAGCCACCATGCCAGTTGCAACCTGAAGCAGTGTCAGTGATTGTTCTATTATGCTGGAGTACCACTTTAAATCATATGCCGTCATCCAGGCTTGCAATAAAATATCAGCAATAAAATTTAAGGCCTTTTCAGGGTTGTTTAAAGGCCCAATCAACAATTTTAAGAACGAAAGAAATAATGTACACAAAATGCATAGGTAACTGAATAAACAAAAGGTTTGTCAAATGTGGGGCTGACTATGAGAGGGAAATAACGGTACATCGCTGCACTGGAAAAGTTTTGCTTTGTAATGGAGATTAATTAATACCCACAATTTATTTTTAATACATGTATATATTAGTTTCCTGTAAAATCATAACATGACAAGTTTTACTAAATACAGGGCATTTTCAGTGATAAAACGAATTTAGGGCTTTTTAGGGTAAAATGTCCAAATTTCAGGCTCTTTCAAGCCCCTGCTACCCCTGCCACCTTATGTGACAAGCAACATATTTGTTTTTATATTATAATTAACAAACTGAACACACTGAAGCAGTGAAATTATCCAAGAAGATCTACTTAAGCCCACATTACAATCACCTTCAGAAATACCCAACAAATGTTTGACACTTTGCTAGTCCTTAAGTAGCTTGAACATCAATAAAACTGGTTGGGTCACTGGGCAGTGCTAGTTTCCTGCGGAAGTCTTACCACATCCTGTGCGAAGCCGTACTGACTGGCGTAGAGGAAGACAGAGGGCGATGTTGGGAATGTGCCATACAGGAAGCCATACATGCTGAGAGCCTCGCTTTCATTACACGTGGATCGCATATCTAGCCAGCCAATCACCTCCCATGTTATTAGCGGAAGCAAGAGTCTGGAATCATCATCATCATCATCATCATCATCATCATCATCATCCTATTGATCTGATCCCTCATCATCAATACAATCATAACTTATTCCCATTACTTTTCTTCATCAGTAAACACAGCTTCATCTACATCACAGTCAACACATTCCACTTGTTGCTGACTGACCCGTGAAGATCCAGGTTAGAATTGATCTTCAGTAATAACCCATGTTTGTCATGAGAGGTGACTAATGGGATCATGTGGTCAGGGTTGCTGACTTGGTTGACACATGTCACCGTATCCCAATTGTGTAGATCGATGCTCATGCTGTTGATCACTGGATTGTGTTGTCCAGACTCGATTATTTACAGATCGCAGCCACATCGCTGGAATATTGCTGAGTGCGGCGTAAAACAACAAAAAGACAAACAAACACAATCACCTTATTCCAGTTGTTGCCGACTGAATGAAAAACACTCATTTACCACTTATCAACTCTGTTATCCTTGCACATGATCAGTGAGTGGCTAACTTACATATAGATGAAAATAAACGAAAGACCAGAATTGCGATCACTAATTATGGGCATGATGTATCTTCATGTCAGCAAAGCAAAATATTTTCGGATAAAAATATCAATATTCATTTACATCACACAAATTATAACACAACATTCATTGCTTGAGCTTCATTGCACTACAATTTTCAGCAAGTATAGACACCATATTTCTTGTTCAGAAACCATGACAACAGTTTGTACTGGTATATGTAATTGTGATCGAATGCAAACACATTCAGAGAGATTCAGTGTCACCTAAACTTGAGTAAAATGCAAACAAAATTAGTGCCTTTCAGTAGCACTCAGCCTTTTCTTTGGAATAAAATGCAAACAAATTCAGATCCCCTCAGTATGCTCAGGGTCTGTAAGACTTGCGTTTGTGATTAGAAACAATCCGATTCAAATCCATACTGTGTCAGCTAGTGTTGGGAATCGGGAAACCAAATCCACTAACGATTATCGATTATAATCGAAATATATAATATATATTTAATGAATCAATAATTTTAAGAGGTTTTTTCTAATTGATGTCTTTTATAACTAATACTGTCATGCAATGAAATGCACGGACAGTCGAGCACCGTTGTGTCGAACTCTGATAACTCGATATCTCGGTTGTCACGATATAACATCTCGGTCCCGGCAGAATCCTTCATAATTTATCATTATTCAAGCTCTTTTAACTCGATACGGATGTCTCGATATTTCAGATATCTCAATATAATTTCATGGTCCCAACAAGCAAAATTACCCTTTTAACTCGATATTTACACAGCAATTCGATATTCACCTACCTTTCGTGGGCAGGTATTCCTCTGAACTGAGGTTGTTTCCACACGTTTACACACCGTACGGCATGAATCAAAGGGATGCGGTAGTGTAAACTAATTAGGGCTAACTGAGTTGAAGGTGTCACTTGTTTGTTATGTAATTAGGATTAATTAAGAAGGAATTAATTAGGAAGTACTCACTGTTATGACTAAACACTACTGATAACGGATTATAGTTTTGAATCAAAACATACTGAGAATCCAATGAGGGTTTTGTGTAATCGCAGTTGAGAACGGCAGATGCGTTCACAATATTTGTGGAATTGAGAGATGGAGGATGAGATGAATTATCATTCAAGATGCACACAGTAAGATGTGCTGTATCGTGTGTGACTCCAATCCCTGTGAGTAAAAATGTATATGCAAATATTTATACATGAAATCTACTCTTTGTTTTGTTTTCTTTCATAGTGATATGTGATGATATGCCCTGGTCGGATGTCTCGAAGTTTGGATAACTCGATATTTTTTCTTGGTCCCCTGAATATCGAGACAACGGTGCTCGACTGTATGTAAGAAAGACAGTGGAATTGTAATTAAACAATAAAATTGGTTAAAATTTTACAATGCGCATAGCTTTACGCTGCTGAGCGCATGTTTGTTTGTGAATATTCATTAAACTTCATGATTAGTTTACTTCATTCAAGTGTGCTATACTAAAACAAGAAAATTCCGATTAATTAAAAACATGTTTTTTTCCGATCGATTTTTGATTGTTTTTTGATCATCGAAACACCACTAGTGTCAGCCAACTTCACGATATGTGCCAACTTACGACTTTGCACCGATGAGGAGGACTGGTCCGAGGAGCGCGATGCCGGTGAGACTCTTCACCTTCCCCACCAGACTGAGGCCAAGATAGAACAGCGCAGCTGCACTATAGGCATCCGCTGCAATACACAATAAACCAATGTTCAAAATCAGGAACAAAAGTCAACGCGCCTGTCGATCAGTGTCGGAAAGAGCTGCCTGCCTGCCCTCTAGTGGCTGCTAACTTTCCTGTTGGGATGGATGAAAGTAACCTCCACCTGCCGAACAGTTGCTGAAGGGGTCGTCAGCATGGGTACAACAGATAGGTAGCCCATGTATGTTTCCGTATATACCCTAAACAAAATCAAAGTGAATACATGTACCCAGTACCCTACACTGCAAACGTGTGCATCACAAAGTATTCGTCACTGTGTATGCTCATTCTTATATAACGCAATCGGACAGATCTCATACAATAGTATGACAATTCCGATCATGACAATTCTGATCAAGGTAATTCTAAGAGTAAGACTACTTACATCAGTGTGTGAAATAGTTTCCAAATTTTGCCAGCCAATTGGGCTACCTATGCCTGAAAGTTACTAGCCCACAAAATGACTAACCCAAAATATGAATGTATAAATTAAACAAAAGATTACAAAAAGATAAAGAACCATCATTTATCAGGCCATAATCTTCCATGATTTAAAAATGTATTATAACTTAACAAGTTGGAAAGAGTGATATACAGTGAAGCCCCGTTAGTCTGGACTCCGATAATCCGGATGTCTCGTCTCCCGGACGATTTCAGCTTGTTACCAATCTATGCCTATATAATTTGCCTCGATAATCCGGAAATTCGGTTTCCGGAACCGGACGGTAAGTAGCTATCACCAATCAGTAAAATAAACAGTAAATTGCTTCACAGTCCGGACGCTGTAAGTCTTGTTCACGAACCGTAACACCACCTCCCCGGCGATGTTTACTTAATTAACTGGTCAACTGGGTTGTTGTTTTAATTAGACATTAAAAGCTCCCGACTGAAGATGCTGTACATTTACACTTTGATTGACACCACAATACAAAGGCGTGGATGACAAGTGAGCTGTATTGTGATTGGTTAATGTACTTTGACAGACAGATGCGGTCACGTGGACTTAAAGTGATTTTGCTTTACGACAACGCTGCAAGTCACAAGTGTGCTTTGCTAACTTTGCGAAACGTGACCAAATACTGCGTATCATATTCAACCAATGGATGCAGGAATAATTCGGACATTCAAGGCATACTACAATAGATCGCTTGTTAGACATTACCTCACCTGTGCTGAGGAAGGACGTGATCAGACACGTCGGATGAACATGCGGATGTCACTCGGTAAAATTATTGATGTGATGAATTCAATAAGCTTTACATTAAATGCTTATTTGTTTTATCCAGATTCGTGTCGTTTTTGTAATAGTTAGGGAAGCAACTTGGGTCTTGATTCAGTAGTCCGGACTATTCGCATTCCGGACGAATTTGCTGAGAAACGCAACTGTCCGGATTAACGAGGCTTCACTGTATTTAAGAAATGACCCCCATGAAAATTCACTAGCCAGTCGGGCCAGTGACTTTGGAGAATTACTGGCCTGACTGGATTTTTACTAGCCACAGGCTAGTGGGCCAGTGGCTATTTCACACAGTGTTACAGATTCAGTTTTATCATATTCCTCATAGAGAGTTGGAGATATATAATTGTTCTGTTACTGCTGAAGCTACTTAGATGAAACAGATTGCTTTCTTTGTCTTCTTTTAATGTTTCAACTCACGGTGTAAGTCAAAGGCTGAATTTGTTGTTCCAAAGTTTGTGAGGAATCAGAGATAATACATGAAATTTTGGAGAGGGTACAGTTAAGTGAGTTCAACTGTATATATTTTGTGCATGAAAAATCGATATGTTGTTTAACAGGAATGAAAGTGTGAAACAGAAAGTCCTGAATCAGAAGCATATCTGCATAAACATGCATTGATAATGCTGTTGTTGTTGGGATAAAATTACATGTCTCAACCAAGTCTGCCAGTGAGACCACTTGACCTCATTAGTCGCCTTTTACGACTATCCCACATTATAACCCCTTGCATCAGTGCATTCCAGAAAGTGTAGCATAGAAGCTTGCAATTCAATGTTGGTTAGAGAAATTCGCCTAGTCCTCATGAGAAGAGCATTTTATCATTAAAGTTCTTTTTTTTTTCATAAGTGTCCGTTGCAAGTTTCTGGAAAAGCAGGATTCCTCTGCATATTGAATAAATCATTAGGTACATGTCACTTCTAGTTTCTCAGTCACTACCATGCCAAGAGATGAATATGACATAATGAAAATTTCTGTAAAGCATATGGTCAGCTACGCCTATATTATCAATGAAATACTACACATATTTCCTTTTGACCAAACAGCTATAATAAATCCCCCAATAGAGTATTTTTTGGCTGACTGTGCATCTTAAAAGCTCCGTTTTTCCTCCTTATTCCAATGAATCTATTTTTAGTAAATACCCCTTTTGGGAATGCCCTTTTGTACAATGTTCTTACTATCTTAATCAAATTCAGGTAAATAACCTGGAATATCGTTGACAATAGCATTAACAGCAAACACAGTTCTAAGTGTCAAAGTGACCAAAAGCAAACCTGTTGAAACATATTTTTCTCCATTAACCTACGGTGTCTTTTTTATTCTCAAAGTGCTGGCAAAGCATAAGATAAATAGTTGTAAAAGCTGCAGGCCATCATTTGTAACCACATGTAAGGGATAACAACCTTTTCCTCAGATTTAGTTTTCTCTTCTTCAGATTTACTTTACTCAACTTCAGATATACCTTAGCTTAGATTTGCTTTACTTTACCTCAGATTTACTTTACTCTTCCTTATAATTACTTTACTCTTCCCTTCCTCAGATTTACATTACTCTTCCCTTCCTCAGATTCAATTTACTCTTCCCTTCCTCAGATTTACTTTACTCTTCCCTTCCTCAGATTCACTTTACTCTTCCCTTCCTCAGATTCACTTTACTCTTCCCTTCCTCAGATTCACTTTACTCTTCCTTATTTTTACTTACTCTTCCTTCCTCAGATTTACATTACTCTTCCCTTCCTCCTTCCTCATTTACATTTTACTCTTCCCTTCCTCAGATTTACATTACTCTTCCCTTCCTAAGATTTACCTTCTTCCCTTCTCTTTACATTACTCTTCCTTCTTCAGATTTACTTTTTAGATTTACATTACTCTTTCCCCTTCCTCAGATTTACATTACTCTTCCCTTCCTCAGATTTACATTACTCTTCCCTTCCTCAGATTTACATTACTCTTCCCTTCCTCAGATTTACATTACACTTCCCTTCCTCAGATTTACTCTTCCCTTCCTCAGATTTACATTACTCTTCCCTTCCTAAGATTTACATTACTCTTCCCCTTTTACCTCCCTTCCTCAGATTTACTTCCTAAGATTCCTAAGATTTACATTACTCTTCCCTCCCTCAGATTTACATTACTCTTCCCTTCCTCAGATTTACATTACTCTTCCCTTCCTCAGATTTACATTACTCTTCCCTTCCTCAGATTTACATTACTCTTCCTCAGATTTACATTTTACTCTTCCCTTCCTCAGATTTACATTACTCTTCCCTTCCTCAGATTTACATTACTCTTCCCTTCCTCAGATTTACATTACTCTTCCCTTCCTCAGATTTACATTACTCTTCCCTTCCTCAGATTTACATTACTCTTCCCTTCCTCAGATTTACATTACTCTTCCCTTCCTCAGATTTACATTACTCTTCCCTCCCTCAGATTTACATTACTCTTCCCTCCCTCAGATTTACATTACTCTTCCCTTCCTCAGATTTACATTACTCTTCCCTTCCTCAGATTTACATTACTCTTCCCTTCCTCAGATTTACATTACTCTTCCCTTCCTCAGATTTACATTACTCTTCCCTTCCTCAGATTTACTTTCCTTCCTCAGATTTATTCACATTACTCTTCCCTTCCTCAGATTTACATTACTCTTCCCTTCCTCAGATTCATTTTACTCTTCCCTTCCTCAGATTTACATTACTCTTCACTTCCTCAGATTCACTTTACTCTTCCCTTCCTCAGATTTACTTTCCTTCCTCAGATTTACTTTACTAATTTCCTTCCAACATTTACAGCTTTATTACCACAAGGGAAGGTCATGGCCTCACGTAAACGAGTCACATATCAGTGTCTGATTCAAATTTGTCAATGTCAGTGGAGTAATGAAATTTTCAAGAGATACTAAAATGCCAAAGTCAGGTTGGAAGAAATTTCTTTTTACTTAACCATGTCCGCTCGCTTGAAATCTTAATTGTGGCGGGTCACATACCCACTATAAACATTATGCACAAGGAAATTAGATATAAATGGTGACATATTAAAACGTAGACCTCTAAACTGTTACTTTGGGCCAAATGCAAAGTCTTATTGTCACAAGTTAGTGCCAGGGCAGCTATTATCAAGCACTGGCTTACAATGGCATTCCAGGACCTACTTGCACAAGACCACTTGTAGCGCCATGAGGATCGTAACTATCAAACTCAACACAGACTTAAGATAGTCCAGGCACTAAGATTGCATTGTCCAACTGGGCCTTGGTAGGAAAAAACTTACACATACCAATATACCCTATATCCATAGAAATGTTACTGGACTCGGGACAGGTGCCTTGCACCCCCTTCTAAACCTGAGGGGGGTCTCAGCCGAGTGGTTAAAGCGTTTGCTTGACATGTCAAAGACCCAGGTTTGGTTTCCCACATAGGTACAATGTGTGAAGCCCATTTCTGGTGTCCCCTGCTGAGATATTGCTGGAATATTGCTAAAAGCGGTGTAAAACTAAACACACTCACTCACTCTAAACCTGATCTTTCCAGGAACTAAAAAACCCTGTGCCATGTCTATGGTGGTATACCCTATACCAATAGAAATGTTACAAGCAATGGGACAGGTGGCAGGCAGGTATATCGAACACTGTTAACTTGCCTGCAGGGCTGCAATATTTTGGAAAATTGCTGAAGCAGCCTAAAGCCAAATTGTCTCCACAACTCACCTAGAACTGTCAGAATGTCATCCAGTATGTGAGGCACGTGTTGCTTGAAGATGAAGTTTCCTGCTATCCCGATAGCTGTCATGAAAACAATGGGGTTTGTGACGATTCCTTTGAACACGTGCCAGATTAGCTGACGTGTGGAGCGAGTCGAGTCCACTGATTCGGTGCGTCGTTTGTGTATTTCCATCAACACAAAGCCGAGCGGGTTGAGGAAGACCAGGGAGATGGGGGCGACAAGGTAGATGTACTGCAGGTAGTCGGGGTGGTTGTTCTGATACAGTGCTTGTACTGGAACAGGCAATATTGTGGTTAGTATAGCAGTAAAAACAGGTGCACATTATCGGTCAAATCTATGAGTGACTTCAGTTTTCCACCGCACTCAGCAATATTACAGCGGCGGTTTGTAAATAATCGAGTCTGGAACAGACAATCCAGTGATCAACATCATGAGCATCAATCAACACAATTGGGATATGATAACAAGTGTCAACCAAATCAGCGAGCCTGACCACCCTATCCCTTACGACAAGCATGGATTACTAAAGATCAATTCTAACCCAGATCAACACGGATCAAATCCAACTCTCTTGAATGTGCTGTGTGTATTCATTGTTACAAGGTCAGTTCAGTTGACTTGCAACAATTGTAACAAGAAGTTTGAACTACGAAGCAATTAATTTGTAAGCTTAGGAGGCTTGTGGTGCCAACCTCTTATACACAATATTATTGTAGTTACAAACTCATTCAGTAACTCACTCACCAACATACACTCCTAGGAGCTCATTCAGTAACTCACCCACCAACATACGCTCCTAGCAACTCATTCAGTAACTCACCCACCAACATACACTCCTAGCAACTCATTCAGTAACTCACCCTCCAACATACGCTCCTAGCAACTCATTCAGTAACTCACCCACCAACATACGCTCCTAGCAACTCATTCAGTAACTCACCCACCAACATACACTCCTAGCAACTCATTCAGTAACTCACCCACCAACATATGCTCCTAGCAACTCATTCAGTAACTCACCCACCAACATACACTCCTAGCAACTCATTCAGTAACTCACCCACCAACATACGCTCCTAGCAACTCATTCAGTAACTCACCCACCAACATACACTCCTAGCAACTCATTCAGTAACTCACCCACCAACATACACTCCTAGCAACTCATTCAGTAACTCACCCACCAACATACACTCTTAGCAACTCATGTAACATCACCCTCACCAACATACACTCCTAGCAACTCATTCAGTAACTCACCCACCAACATACACTCCTAGCAACTCATTCAGTAACTCACCCACCAACATACACTCCTAGCAACTCATTCAGTAACTCACCCACCAACATACACTCCTAGCAACTCATTCAGTAACTCACCCACCAACATACACTCCTAGCAACTCATTCAGTAACTCACCCACCAACATACACTCCTAGCAACTCATTCAGTAACTCACCCACCAACATACACTCCTAGCAACTCATTCAGTAACTCACCCACCAACATACACTCCTAGCAACTCATTCAGTAACTCACCCACCAACATACACTCTAGCAACTCATTCAGTAACTCACCCACCAACATACACTCCTAGCAACTCATTCAGTAACTCACCCTCCAAACATACACTCCTAGCAACTCATTCAGTAACTCACTCCCACCAACATACACTCCTAGCAAGCAACTTATTCAGTAACTCACCCACCAACATACACTCCTAGCAACTCATTCAGTAACTCACCCACCAACATACACTCCTAGCAACTCATTCAGTAACTCACCCTCCAACATACACTCCTAGCAACTCATTCAGTAACTCACCCACCAACATACACTCCTAGCAACTCATTCAGTAACTCACCCACCAACATACGCTCCTAGCAACTCATGCATCTAACTCACCCGACCACAGACTGTCTTTACTCACTCACTCACCCGGACACAGCCTGTCTTTATTCACTCACTCACTCCACATGGTTACGTTATGGCTGAAATATCTACGCACTAAGGAGTGAGTGAGTGAGTGAAGGTGAGAGAATGAGTGTGTATAGGTGAGTGTGTGTGGTGAGTGAGTGTAGGTAAGTGAATGTGTGAGTGTGTGTGAGTGAGTGAGTGAGTGAACAAAACAGAACATGCTGGTTTGAACTTTATTTCAGCTATATCATAGCGGATCATCGTCAAGTGAGAGAATGTGGGAAAAAAAATTTAACACTTTGGTCAAAACCACAAGCACAGGTATGCTGTCGATAAACCTAGAAACCTAATTGGGCAAATTATTACCCAAACCCAAGATTAGTGGGTTCTAGTGTACTCAAGATGTACTAAGACGTACACAAGTCATTTCTACAAAGTCATAAAATCTATCTTTATATCAATAACAGGGTGGGTTAGCCTAGTGGTCAAAGCATTCGCTTATTAAGCTGAAGACCCAGGTTCGATTCCTCATAATTGGGTACAATGTGTGAAGCCCATTTCTGGTGTCCCCTAACCAGGGCTTTACACAGACTTTTAAAAATGGGAGTCATGGTGACTCACAATATTTATTTTTGGGAGTCATTTTCAATATTTGGGAGTCACGAAAATTTTATTATTTCTAATCGTTCTCAGTATGTAACTATGTATGTCACCACCAAATGAAACTCCAGCATAGTTCAATTCACACAGCCAGGATTACTGTCTCCTCTGAGTTCTCTGGAACAATCTGACAGCTCTGTAAAAGTCAAACTATTATCGAACAATGTCAGTTTTTTGCTTATCAACTCGATTTTATTGAACTGAATTGTGACGGCAACCTATAAAACTTGCGTGAAGCTTGACTCGTATGATAATATTTTGAGAGTCATTAACAAAATTGTGGCGTCAAATACGCAGGAATCACGCGTCATGTAAAACCCTGTCCCCTAACATGGTACTGCTGGAATATCACTCACTTATAACAATAACAGGGTATTTCTATAGTAATTTGCTGACTTGAGGCCAAATATTATCCCCTGAGCATGTCTAGGTAAATCCCCAGGTCCCTGATCCACAGAGCATATCTTAGTCTTACGAATGTCGTAGTGCTTTGAACGCAGCACTCAGCAATATTCCAGCTACATGGTGGCGGTCTGCAAATAATCGAGTCTGGACCAGATAATCCAGTGATCAACAACATGAGCATCGTCTACACAATTGGGATACGATGACATGTGTCAACCAAGTCAGCAAGCCTAACTATCCGATCCCGTTAGTCGCCTCTTACGACAAGCATGAGTTACTGAAGACCAATTCTAACCCGGATCTTCACGTGTTGAACGTATTGTGGATCAGGACAGCCGTGAGGGAATCACACGCCAAGGTAGTGACAGACGAATGCTTTGTACATGCTGCTAGCACATGATGGCTCATGGTGGAATATATGACAGTCACCACTTTGTTTTCGATAATCATGACTAATCATGAGGACAAATGAATACAATAACAATGAGAATGTGAACTATCACAGTATATGAGATAACGGACTGGCCTTGTCATGAAACAAAGTTGAATGTGATGCCAAAAAAATATGAAGTTAGTTATCAAATGATAACGATGGAGGGGAAGTTACCTCGCCGACAAAATATCACTCCCACACTTCGGATGACCTGGTGACAATTGTGATTGTGTTCATGAGTGAGTATGAATGGTTTTACACCGCTTTTAGCAATATTCCAGCAATAACATGGCGGGGGACACCAGAAATGGGCTTCACACATTTTAGCCATCTGTGGAATTGAAGCCAGGTCTTCACCACTAAGCTACTCCACCGCTGCAAATGTGTTTATGGTATGTTGGGTAAGACTTCCGCCTGTATTCCCCCTAAATTTCAACAATAAGGAAATTTTTCTTTGAGTGGCAGATACAATTAACGAAACATGTTAAAACTCATCCTTATCAGATGAGGAATATATATTCAGGTCATATGATTTGATTAGAATGAAATTTAAGGGGGGATACGGGCGGAAGTCTTTATTTATATTGAAGGTAGGTATCTTTCTAAATTTTATATTCTTGTAGGTTTTACAAACGCTTTTGATTCAGTTAATAGGTCACTATTTTGGTATTCATTACTCAAACAAGGTGTAATGGGCAGATTAATCTTAGCATTAAGAAACATGTATTTTAAGATTTTGGTGTCGGCGCTTCCTTCCAGTTTGTCAGTTGGAGAATATTTTGATCGCTGAGTGGTGTACGACAAGGGTGTGTTTTAAGTCCTTTTTTCTTTGCCATTTAAATGATGTTTATAACAGAATTTTAAGTTATACTCTGATCTTGCGGGTATTTGAGTGACGATTGAGTATGGGATTTATGCCGCTTTTAGCAATATTCTAGCAATATCACAGCAGTGGACACCAGATCACGGGCTTCACACTCCGATTTTGAAGATTTACTGTTACTGTTGTATTCTGATAATTTTGTTAATTTGATGATACTGTCAGTGGTTTACAGAAAAAGATAGACATTATACATGTATACGTATTGTAAATCAGGGGGGTTAGAAATAAAACTTAGGTCTTAGTAATGGTGTGTTTTTTGCTCTTATGAGCAGTGGTTCTAGAATGGTATATCAGTCAAAACATATTAAAACTATTTGGGCAGGGGTGGAAATAACCCATTGCCCGACGCCCGAGTCCAGTGTTTTTTTCTGTTGGGCAAGCAAATTTGTATATCACACTGTACCGGTGTCCAGTTGATATTCCAATGTTAATTATGTTGTTTATTTAAAAAATCAATAAGAAAATGGCGGTATAGTGAAAAAATTATCAGGGCAAGTGATTTTACATGTGCCACTGTACCGGAGTACACTAGCAATTTTAAAGTTATTTCCACCCGTTGGGTATTATATTTTCAACTAATTCTCAAAACAGTTTGTTGACATGTGATTGTCGACCAACAATAATATATGAAACAAAGTATAGACCGTACGCATCATTTTTTGTCAATTACACTTTTGTTTTGAAGCTTGAGTAGAGGCAATATGATTGTGGTTGCTGTGAAAAACATAAATAATGGAAGTAGTGAATGTTGGAGGGACACACATTTCACCAGAATTAATATAACATTTTTAAATGACATTTTGAGTATACTTAATAAACCATATTGCAAACATAAGTCCAGATATACAAAGACCATGGATGAGTGAATGAGTATGATCTTAGCAATATTCCAGTAATGTACATAAAATGATTTTTGTTTGTTGTTTAGCCCCGCACTCAGCAATATTCCAGCTACATGGTGATGGTCTGTAC